CCGGTGCTCGATGCGCCCGGGAAGTTGCCGCACTGGGCCAGCAACTTGGAGGACAATGCGCCCTGGCGCAATCGGAGTCTCGGAGCGTCCAGCGTTTCACGGGACGTGCAATCCAAAGGGCAGGGGAACCTTGCGGGACACCTTTGATATGCGGAGAAACTTGAGCTCGGACTCCTTTAATTACCTGGTCTTGCTTGTGAGTCAGAGTGAGGGAGGGTTCAGGTGGCAGGTCAAGCAAGTGCTGGGCAAAAAAGTGGCTTGCACCCATTTTTTGGGGAGAAGCCAACCATGTGGAGAAGCCGTTCACATAGCAACGCCTAACCGCCTAACCCGCGGTGGGTGTTGAACGAAACGCTACAAAAGATAAACCAAAGGGGGCTTTGGAGCCTGGTGTTGCCCTTTGCACTTCGAATGATGCTGGATTGCAGGCTTCCTCTTTGCCTCTTTGCCATTCTACTCTGTTTTTTTTTGGTGCTGGTGCAGCAAGCATGATACCCGTAGGTTGCAATGAAACTTGCAACAATCAGCTCACTCAGACATTCAGTTGCTCAGTCGCTGTGTCAAGAAACGGGTCCCTGGTTTGGCAAAGGGGTGTTCTTGTCCACGGGTCGTTTTCGCGCCCCGGTGGAGGAGAGGCGTTGTTCTTCCAACTCCCAACCAATTTGTTGGACGCCCCACTTGTCATTACCTTTTGTTTTGGGTCCAAACAGCCTCGCATTTTCTGAACTTAAAAGACCTGCTCCTCTTTTTTAACGCTAGGTGGACAAGAAGCTGCTTATCATGCTCCGCGATGGCCGAAAACTGATCGGATGGCTCAGGACGTTGCCAGACACGACGTGGCCCATCAAATTGGTGGGGTGATGCCTAAACGGGCGTATAATATAAGGAAACCTGTTTTAGAAAGACCTCTTCAAACTAGTTGTGGGCGGAAAGCCTTTCAGTGCGGGATTGATCCGTTGTTTGGGGGCACTTCTGATGCTGTCAGGATAAACCGGAAGCAAACAGTATCAGCTTGACACTCAGCATGGGGACGCCTGGGCAGGTGCGGATGCGCATGTTTTAAAGGCCTGGGCAAGTGAATGCCCTGAAATTTTGGTGATGCTTGTGATCTTGCATGTTGATTATGATTTTCAATGTTGCCTCGGCCAGATGGGCATCCATTGAAGTTCATCCTGCAACTTACCCTCATAATTATTGAGAACCCTTCAAATTGTCCAATTCAAGGGCCCCAGATGAAGGACCTTCGATCAGTTTGCCAACCTTCTCGTTGAGCACATCGTTGAGCGGCACATCCTTGTCGAGGACATGCAAGATTTGTGCAGCCGGGCTTCATGATAGTCTTTGACTTGGTTGTGGCGCATTGTTAATAAAAGCCCGTATTTTGTCCAGTTTCCAATGCCAATTGGAAGACAAGGTGAGGGCTGTGTCTTCACAGCGGAGCCGGTAGAACTTTCTGATTCTAGGGCATGGAGATGCAGTTGAGAACAGCCACTGCAGGAGAAAGTCTACGCAGACATTTACCTGGGCACGATGCTGATTCGGGGTGAGAACGTTTGCCTCTTTGGCGAGGCAATGAATGGGTGGTGTTTGTGTGTGTGTGTGTGTTTGCGCTTGTGCCTGAGCTCATGTTCCTGTTTGTGTTGGGTGTGGGTGTGTGCAGAATGTGTTTGTGTGTGTGTGTGTGTGTGTCGTGTACGCTTGCATTGGTGAATGTGTTCCCTGGAGCCATGATGTCAGAACTGTTGGAAGGATGCAAATGGCAACAGATCGATGGCCTGTGTGAGCTTAAGGCAGCTGAACAGTTGCTTGTTTCAAGCAGGGTTTGGATGAGATGTGTCGAATTGAGGGAGGATGGCAGTCGACACGCATACAATTTGATGGTTCAGTTTAAGAGTCCCATGCCGCGCAGATCGACCCTGACCGCCACGACGGCTTGAGAGAGGTGGGGAAGGGTGACACGACTGGTGACTGGTGCAATCAACTGAGCAACAGGCTAAACTCTCCGTTACTTCTTTATGCATTCGGGCGATTTAGCGTGAGGAAATCTATCAAAACCTTGTAGAACGATATAGGGAACCCCCAAAAACGATAAAACATGCTTTCATGATGTGGCAGACGATGCTTGGAGCGTCTCGCGTTTGGCAGTTTTTGTTGTGGCCCAGAATCCCAACCATCATGTCTGCGCCTCCTGACGCGCCCAGCATATGTGAGATCGGGCCCTGCGGCCACGCAATGCTGTTTGTTCCGCGAACTTTGGCAAAAACATACCTGCCCAAAACGATAACCGAAACGATGACGAAACGATAAGCAGTTCATTCGGAAAATCGTCTTCGTGAGCAGTTGCCCATAACGGTAGACTCGTGCGCACAGTTTCGATGTCTCCGTGCTGCGTGCATTCGTAGTGCGCCAGTGATGAGGAGGCTCTCAAGCGTTTGCGAAAGGAGGTTTTCAAGGACTCCGATCTGCCTGGAAGCAGTGCCATCTGGAAACTCACGCTTTCCCGTACGCATCTCCAACTGCCTCTTCAGAAGCTCGCTCGAAATCAACTGCTTTGCTTTAGAGCAACAGTTCTGCTTTGCGTTTGTGCGTTTGCTTCGTTGTTTTATGGTAAGCCTCGCGCAGGTAACAGCGCTATCAGACAGTGTGCTCCGTACCAGATCGTCGAGCGCAAGTTGGAAGCAGAGCAACTACAGTGGAAGCGCGGCTTTTGGCAAGATCCCACATGGAGAAAACCAACGCTTGCTCTAAATCAAACGAATGAAATCATGAGGAAGCACCATGCCCAGCTGCGCATGTTTCGCGGCACCTTGAAAAGCACTAAATCCTGACTTTCGACCAAATGGTCACTCGCGATGAAGCCCGCTTGGTCAAGGCAAATGCCCGGAGTAAGCGGAAACATGCGGCTGCTTTGTCTGCTGACCCAATGGAAGAGTCTGAAACAGAGCTGTGAAGCCAATGTGCCGTGACAATAAAACGCCAGTGCGCGCTCTCCATGTGCCAGAAACCTGCAAAACGATATAGCGAACCCCCAAAAACGATAAGAATGAGTCCTAAATCACTTCTGTGCATTTAGGTTTTGCCGCTCGCTCAACTCATGAAACGAGACGGAGCACTGGCACCAGCATGTCAGCTATGTCAAAGCTACAATGAAAACCGCTTTGTATTCAGTTGGAGTTGGGCATGAGTGTCAGGGTATGAAAGCGGCGTGTGTCAGACAAAGTGACCGAAACAATGCAGCTCAAGGCGCCACTGGCCTACGTGCTGGCGAAGGAGGATGAAATCGAGGCAGGGGAAAGCTTGTCTTGCTCAAAAGTGACGCTTGGCTTTTACGGATGTGTCGGACCCTGGCATACCAACACCCTGGGAAAGGCACAAAGGGCCCGAAGAATTACCGAAGATCCAGAGAGACAGAAAGAGAGAGAGAGAGAGAAAAAAACAACAAGAAGGTAAAATCAAAGAAATAATGAAAGAACGAAAGAAAGAAAGAAATAAAGAAAGAAAGAAAGAAAGAAAGAAAAAAAGAAAGAAAGAAAGAAAGAAAGAAAGAATGAAAAAAAGAAAGAAAGAAAGAGAGAAAGAGAGAAAGAGAGAAAGAGAGAAAGAGAGAAAGAGAGAAAGAAAGAAAGAAAGAAAGAAAGAACGAAAGAAACGAAAGAAAGAAAGAAAGAAAGAAAGAAAGAAAGACAGAAGGACACACAGACAGCCAGGGAGGGGGAGGGTAGAGAGCATGCGCAGGCCTCTGACGCAAAGAAAGGAAAGATGGTGGACCTCTTTGCAGATGCCAGCGCGCTTAGCAGGGTACCGTGCATTTCCAACTGAGCGGTGACATTGGTGTGGCTTTCACGGTATCAGGAGATCGACTCTGTTCCAGCACAAACTTCTCGGTGCATTCTCACTTTTACGGAGGTTACCGTAGTTCTTTGAGCTGTGAACTCACTGCAAAGTTGCAGGAACATGAGCTCATTCAGCACATCACTGTGTGAGTCAAGTTCATGTTCTGCAAAGCGCTGCAGCACTCTTAGGCCTGTGATTATGATTGATTCATTGACGAATCGCCTCATGACAAATTGAAGCCGTCGGAGAGTATTGCCTATTTTTAATTCAGTATTGGAGAAATTTGGGATCTGGAAAAACATATTTGTTGATAGGGTGTGTTGATTAATTTCTAGGGATAAGTGGTCGCCACTGTCAAGGAAGATGTCAGCGATCACATGGCCGTCAATAAAAGAGGATAACCTTGTTGCACTATTGTTGCCTCTGTTTTCCTCAGTACCCAAGGTCCAAGAGGGAACCTGATTTGCCGACCCTGCAAAGGACATACCATTCGCTTGTCCAGAAAAGATCCGAGGTGGAGTCCTGATCCGACACCCCCGGAAAAAGGAGCGGATGTGCCATAGATCGCGCTGTTGAGCCCGAGTTCGAAACAAAGAGATGGACATGCATCAAAACCAGGTGAGCCACACTCAAATCCTGAGTAGGTGAAGGCTAGTAAGGGACACTCCCAAGCATAAATAGGTGCGGCCGCCTTGGCATCTCTTTACATGCTTTTGGGTTTACCATGTTTGTGCCAGGTTTTGATTATGACTCAGGTGTGGGCCCATATCGACCCCTTTTTGTGAAGCCAACCTGTTGGAGGGGTCCCTGTAGTGTTGACATGCAGCCAGAGTGGAGGGATTCCAAAGCAATTCCATCATTCCCCTCCTTTGGACATCTGCAGGTAATCAAGTGCTAATTGTACCTGCATGTGGGATATGTCAGCGGTTTGTCATGCTCTGACTTGAAAACAAGTCCTGCCCTTGGACACATTGGATCACACACGTGAGACATGGGTTAGGTCTCTTGACCTTGTGGCTTGTAGGCTTAGTCAGCGTTTTGACACCAAGCTGAGAACACACACACACACACGCACGCAAGCTTTCGATGGACCCGACTCAGTTTCTAGGACAAGCACTTTGGAGATCTTTGGATCCGATCTCCAAAAGATGAATGCCCAGGGCCCAGGTGACCCCGAATCGATTTCGTCTCCCCACAAAGCTTGGGGATACATATATTAGCATGGCTCCCGGCGGCAACCAGCGATGGTGAGGCGCGACACATACCATTTCATTTCTCAGCTCTTGGAATGAGTCATGCCTCACGAGCCCAGAACTAGTCAATGAGGGCCTTCAAGTAAATTGTACTTAAGTCTGGCTGCAGATGCCCCAAGACAGCCCTGTTAGCATGGGTTGAGAGTTGTTGCAATCTTCTGGGTGTGGACATGTCACTATTTTGGAATTAGAGGCTTGGAATCCGTCTTGTCAGGCCAGCCGGGAGATCGCGATTGTGCCCTGCAAGAGGGTAGCGACGGCTTTGGGCGTGAGGCTTTGAACAGACGTCGGAACCTCTCACAAAGGCGCGTTTGTGACACTTCCCGGCCCCTCACCCCTTGTTCCGATTTGGAGGTTGGGCGAAAAATAGACAACCAAGAGGACATTAAGGAATTGGAGCAAGCTGGAGGTACCAGCACTGGAAGGGGAGAAGCAAGTTCTACTGCGACGGCCGCTGTATCACCGGGGGCGAGGCACGGTGGGCAGGTGAGCCCCGAACCGTGCAGGGAGTTTTGTACCCTCCACGTGCTTTCCACAAAGTCTAGGGTTGGGCAAGCTTGGTTGAACCAGTCTGAGTATGGGCTCCCTTGAAGGGGGAACCTTGCCGACAATGCTGAATGTTGGAATTTATGTATAAACATATTTCAGAAGCTGAATGAATCCTAAGATCTCTTGTTTTTCTTAGAAAGCAAAAGGACCGTGCAGCTTGATCTTGGGGCTCCCACAAATGCCAATTGCTTTGGGTCAAACCTCTTGGGGAATGCTCTGATGGGCCCACCCCAATACGGACGCGAGCTGCACAGCCATTTGTCTCAAACTTCCAAAACCAAAACATCACGATCCCTCCAAGGTCTAGGAGAGAGACCACATTGTGACATGCCCCCGGCAAGTTTCCTTTGGCAGCCGCCTGGCTAGAATATTTGCCTGCGCACCAAATATGGATTTGCACTACCAGACATCCTTGCATTTTGAAAAGCTCCAATGGTTGCCTTATGATAGCTTTTTGTGCATTTTGCTTGGATGTTAGAACTTTAACTGTTTGCCAACTAGTGGGTTTTCCACGATACCACAAAAAGTTAAATTTTTAGCGGAGCAGAAATCAACCAAGATAACCAGGCATCCTTTTGGTTGCCCAATGGTTGCCCTCCGGCCTTCCAAGCCGAGAGGTCGAGTGCCCTATCGCCTGCCTGGGGGGCTTGAGCTGCGCCAGCTTGGGCGCGTGGCAGCTTGGCGAAGGTGGTCAGGACCCAAAAGGCAAGATATGAACACCATGACTCCATGCCAGCTAGGGGAAACAGATGCCGGTTTGCCAAAACCGCAATCATGTTGGTGTGTAAGACATGGAACAGAGGAACAGATTGGATTTCCTCGAGCGCAGCATGATCAAGCCGGCGACTCACTTCGCCGAGGCTTTGCATTCTCCTGCCCAGCTGCGGGTGCCCTCCTGTCTTTTTCTGAGTGCAGCTATCCAGACACGCGACTGCAGAGCTTCAAGGCATACAGTGGGCAGCCGCAAGTGCGTTTGAGGAGCCATTCTGGAGCCATTTGTCAAGCGAGCCAGCCTTTGAAAGGCACCCAGTTTTGAGAGAGAACGCCACTGGCAAGCGCAGGTACTTCGTTTTCCTCTTCCCCAGCTTGTACAGGCCGGATGGGTTGGGCCGGTGCCACCTGTTCAGTCATGACTTTATCGTCAATTCCTGAAACCTTGAAAATGGGTTCCCTTTGGGGCTACGAGAGTTTTAGCAAAACCCACCTTTTGACTGCTGTCACTCGTGCGCGTTCAAGATCAGTATGGGTGCCTACAAGTTTCTCTTAAACATGAACTGAGAGAGGAGATTATGACCTCTGTGATTCTGCCAGAAGCTCTTAAAAGACATCTTCAACACTCCCGGGTTTTCCTTCAACACTGGGGGTTGCGCGTAAACCAACCACACCAAGGGAGAGCTGGGGCAGCGTTCGCCCCTTGGACCGGGCCAGGCAATGGGGGCCGAAGCTGCTGGCTGCTGCGTTGGTGCTCTTCACCATGACGGCGCCTGGGCGAGTGGCCGGCCGCTGGCGAGCCTTTCTCACTTCGGGTTCCGGACGAAACGTTTTGGCAAACAGAAAAGGCAGTGGCGGTCCGCTGAAGTCAGCTTTTGACGGATGGCCTTTTTATGGTTTGCAGCCTTAGGAATTGGGGGAACATGGGACCGTCGAAATGTACCAAATGCTCTGACTGCAAATTTGCATCCATAGTCGGACATTTGATTGGACGGGGTTAGAGGGAATGCAGTATGAACAAAACCATTCAGAGGTGTTGCGCTTGAGCTAAGTTTGGTCTCAAAGCTTGGCTGCCGAACGATTGGTGTTTGTCTGATTTCGTTTGGACCAATCCCACTGTGCGGCCCTTTTGACCCATCCCACTTACACGTGGATCATGTTTCGATTTTATTTTGCCCTCCAGACGGGTTTGACTCTTGTGCGCACCTGTATTGGGATCCCCGCATGGACGAAGCTGGGTGTATGAAGAGAAGTGCATCCAAGAACAAGCAGTATGTGGGTGCTCGCATAGGGGACCCACAAGCCCTATATATAAAGATAAGGTGGTGGATTTCCTTTTGGTTCAAAGTCAGAGGTTCAACCTGGTAGGAACCCCGTGACACCCTTTTCCTTGGGGAAACCCCGAAGGGGGAAACATCGGGGAGGCCAAACACATCAACACATCGGGGAGACCATGGGGAAAATGTGAGAGGGGGTGGGGTTCAAGAGGTTTCTTTCTGTGGCGCTGAGTTTTCTTCGACACCCCATGGGCTTAAGGTGGGCTTTCTGCTTGCAACCTGCTGCAGCGACCCGGGCATCATTCCGCCCCGGCGGATTGTCTTGCTGGCAGGCAGGCGGCGAGACGAGATCTGTTCGACAATTGCAAGTCCATGAGCGTGTCGTTTGTTGAGGTGTTGGAAAAAATGATCCTCTTGACCCCATGATCACTTGCCTTGATCAGATATGTTGGTCCGATGTTCCCAATCTGTTTATGGTCAGCTTGCCTCCTTCAGCTCCCCACTCATGGAATTCCCATTGCTTTCTGAGACTCCTGCCCAGCGGGGAGCTCCACCCGTCTCTCTCTCTCTCTCACACACGTGATGGGAGTGACGTTGACCCAGACCTTCCGTGGTGCCCTTTTACTCCTTCTTGCCGTCTTTTTGCCTGATGCGTTCCCCTTAAAAGGCAAGCACCGACACAAGGGTGCGCAAGTGGTTTCCCACGGCCACCGGAGGTTTGGGTTTCCCAGTGAATTGCAGGCAGCCGTGAGCATCTGAAGCAGCAGCTGGGCTATGACCTGCTTGGGCCCGCCGGCCGCTGTGCAGCAGGTCGAAGTACCTGGTGTCAAAGCTGTCCCGAAAGTTTCCAGTTTTCTCGGGCGACCTGGGTCCCTGTGTTGACCCATTGGCAAAAGGCGTGGTCATCGTCGGACTCCGGTGGCACCATGGAACTCGAGGTCTGGAGCCCTCTCATGACCAACTCATCGATGCCGAGACCATGGCGGGGCATCCGGGGCATGGGGCCATGGGGGGCTCATGCAACACCAGGGCCATGATTGCCATGGTCCAAAGCTGTGAGTTGCCATGGTTGCCATGGTTGCGAGTTGCCAAGGGAATGACATGTGCCCAGCTACCAAAATACAATTGCAATTCGGGGCGCTCACTGACCATGTCTTGTCGATCGGGGCACCATGTCTTTTCGATCGAAGAACTTAGCCCAGACCTTTTGGAAGTCGAATCGATCGGCGGCAAGGTCCCTGAGCATCTTCGAAAGCAGGGTTACCGGTGGCACCTGGGCCGCAATGCTTGCATATGCTTGCAGGTTGAGAGACCTCCAACCAACGGTTGGTGGATGTCAAATCAAAAGTTGGGGAGTGGTTGCATTTGGAGGGGTCGCTCGCTCGCTTGCTTGATTCCCAGGTGCAAGACCTGCGAGATTATTCGGCCCCCGCGGGCAGCTCATTGCAAGGACTGCGATCACTGCGTACCTTGGCATATGTGTGGGGGGGGGAGTCCCAGTATGATTGGCTCAGTGTTTTTCTCTGTCTGTTAAGGCAAATCAAAGAGGGGGTGCTCTTTTTACCTATGATCATGGGTGCTGTTGAAGGCGAGTGTGCTTGACCCCAAGTTGTGTTCTTGGGACAGTTGGTTCAGGCTTATGCTTACTCAACAATCCCCTTTGAGAGGCAAGAGCAAGTTCTGCTCTCTTCCAACCGTCGCATGTCGCAGCAGCCGCTCACAGAGGTACTTCGCTTTGACCATCACTGTCCCTTTGTCAACAACTGCGTGGGACAGCGGAGACTTGGCCGAGAATTGCTTCGCAGGCCCCAAAGCCTCCCCAGTTCCCAGCATTGAGCGCATTTGCCTCAGGGGCTCAAAGCAGAGCAGAAGCCACACGATTGACAAAGGCTTCGAATGTTCCGACGAATGCCTGCCATGACGCTTTTGCCACGCTGGGAGTGTCGTCTATCACAAAAGCCAAGTTTGCTTCTTTCGGGTTGCCTTTGGACAGCTATCTAGGAAGGGGTGTCCAATCTTAAGCCGCACGGACAAGTGTCAGCGCCAACTCGAAGTCAGGGCTTCGATCCAAACTTGAAACGATTCATGCGCTCTGTCGTTCCTCCGACCTGCTTTGCGCAACAGACGCTTCTCAAGAGTACGGACAGTTTGGCCCTCATGGTAAAGCAGAAGCGAAAGGGAAAGCAAAAATGAAAGCAAAAGGGAAAGCAAAAGGGAGTCGAAGTCCAAGTAGGGGCAGCTGCATGAGCCAACTGCCAAGTCCAAGTATAGGACGTGAAGCTTTTTCTGCAGAAGGGCAAGCTGGTGTCAAGCAGTCAAGCCAAGGAACTACCATTACTTCTTTGCCTTCACCACCTCGGCACTGTTCTTCGCTGCTCTTGTCCTGCCAGCGTTCATGCGGGCCTTTTCGGGCGTTTCTGGTGCGCCCTGAGTTTCGTCACCTTCAATCTGCGGGGCCAGGGACATTGCTCTCTTGAAGAGACCAAGGGGTTGATCAAATGGCCCTCTTTGGGGACCCACCGGCCCTGAGCACTTGGGAGAACTTTCGGGGCAATGGCGTTTCCCGTTTCCCTGGATTTGACGTAGACTTGGTTGTGGCAATGTGCAAGGGGGGGTCTTGTGATGGGTTGCCAAAGGACATGGTCCCGAAGCGTGACACTGCCTTTTGGCGCTCATGGCTGCGCGAAGACCCCTTGGCAGGTGATGCGCCTGGCTGGTATGGTTGGATAGCAGAAATCTCAGCTTGGGGCGGGGAGTGAAGGGCACGACAGTGTAGCCACCTGTTCCAACAAGATTTTGATCCAGATGGTGCACTTGTCACATCGATTGCGCGCATGTCGCGCTTGCTCATAGGATTCCACACTTAGGTCAACTCGGACAACCACTGGGCCGCCTGTTCTTCAGTTTTAGGCCGCAGCAACAGCACAACCAGCAGCACCAGCTCCAGCACATCATCCAAGAGCAGCACGTCCACGTCCACATCTTCAACAAGGTAGCAAAACTCCTTGATTGAACCAAGGCCCTTCTGGACGCAAGCACTTTGCTTTGGGACCCCAATCTCGGGCAGATTGCGTCGTTTGAGGTCACCGTGGGCTTTGTGGCCGTGGCGGCAATCACCGTTCTGCTCGCCAGGGGCTCGAAGGCTAACAGGGATCATGTTCGGATCAACTATCCCAGCCGCTTACTGGGGATGCGCTGCCTTCAAAAGGGAAGGATCCTCTGAAATACCCCGTATGAATCAACGGCACCCCACCACGTTGTAAATCTACTTGGGAGTGGAGAGGGAGTTGGTAGCACATCCTGTGTATTGAATTGGACGCCTCGTGGTGAGCTTGAAAGCTGGAAGTTGACGGGAGAGATGCAGGGGGGGGGGGGTGGAAGCGCCAGAGCTCAGGTGTGCCTTTGGCTGTATCACTGCTGGCTCTCCTTGCAGGGGAAGACCACCAAGGACAACACACACACACACAGCTGTTTTCTGCGGCAATCCTCTCATTTTGAAATCGTCATGGGGGAGCGTGTCAGAAACATGGAACCCTGCTACATGTACATGGCTTCCTTTTGAGCCACGGGGTCCCTAGTTTCCACACTACCCGTTCGGGATAGGAGCTTGGTGCGCATGCCAACTAAGGGCATACACAATTGACGTCTTGGGAATCGCGACATGGTTCCCTGTCGCAAACCTGCGCTTGAGACAAGCCGTTTTACTTTAGATTGATTCCTTTCTTTCCTGTCCGAAATCTGTTATCACCCATTCACCACAAAGAGAAGAGAAGCAGAATTATGAAAGGATAGTACTGCGTGAATGGGATCTCTTTCTTCATTCTTTCTATATCTCTTCTTCAAGGATTCTCACGTAGAAGCCGAACCAGGAATAAACATTTGTATGAAAAGCATGACAAAGAGAAGGAGATAATATGAAATACGAAGTAAATGGACATAGTATAATAATAATTATGTATTTTCCCTTACCTTCCTAACTCTCACTTTGCTACATGGAAGAGTCTTAGAATTAGGTAAGGACGAAAGAAGATCCGTTATTGTTATTATGTTGTAGGTGTGTCTGGGATATTATGTTCCTTTCCATATCTCCCATTCTTCTCTTCGTTCATGCGGGTCATCACATAGACAGTTAATGCGAGAGAAGCGGGTGCAGGGGTTAGACAATTAGCGGTCAATTTCTGAGACCGGCTTCAGACAGGCCAAAACCATTGGCCAGCGAGCCGGTGAAAGCTCTCGCGCCCCGCAACACCCGCAGCAGCCTACGCTAGCAACCTGCACTGGCCAATTGTTATGTCACACCCCTCTTAATTCCAGCTATAACAACAGATTCCTGATGCTTGGGGTAGACGTTCCGGCCTTCCCTTTCGGGGTGTCTCAAGATTCGAGGCCTTTTGCTTTGTCCTGGGCATGGATGTGTTTTTCCTGTTTTTTGCTTTCCTCAAAACCTAAGGCAAGCGTCCTTTGAGGCCGAACCATCTCCAGAGGTGTGTTGTAGGGAAGGCTCATGCACCCTTTGGTTGGCATGCATGAAGTGCTGGCTTTGTGTCAATCTAGGCACTGCTTGGAACTGTCCATCCCTTTCAGTGTCCTTTCCAAATTCAAGTGAGATCCAGCTTTTGAGATCCCCAGATGGCACCATACGGATTTCGCCAGTCGGATGGTCATCAAAACTCCCGCGGGCTCCGCAGGAGCATTGGCGGCGGCTGGATTTCGACAGCGAGCCCACTTTGCTTGCGCTTCCGGGGCCCAGGCTGATGCAACCTCGGCAGTGGGTGGAGATGGTCGAGGAGCAATCAGAGTCGGTGCGCGAGTGCTCTGCAACCTAGCTGACAAACCATTTGGGCAAGTCCCGGCAACGGTTCACGCCGCGGAAGCTTGGCGGAACTCAAGTGGGCTTCGCTTGGCAATGGGGAGCTAAATGCAGTTGTGAAGGGTGGCTGAGAACCAAAGGTCTTCAGTTCATGGCAGTAGCTCTGGAAGGAGGATTCGGGGGATAGAATTCAATCCCTCATTGGTGAGAAACTCACTGGAGGTGGATCCGCCGAGGTTCCTTGTTTCATGCTTCAGGATTTAGAGTGTTTGAGTGTTGCGAATCCTTTAGTCAGGCGTTGAGGTGTTAATTGGCAGGTTGCACAAAAGTGACAGAACCTTTCATAAGACCTACACGGCACATATCATGTCTGGTGCAAAGATGTGTTGTTGGACATATAGACTGGCAGCAGGAACTTCTGAGCCTTTGGGAGCATTTAAACTTGAGAGCGCATCAGTGTTTTTAAGCCATCTCCCAAACATCTGCCAGCATCCCTCCCATCATCCCCCTTGTACAACAACATCCCGCGCATCAAGCGCCGAATCATCACCCCTGCTGTATTCTCAAACAGCAGAATGAGCGGTAAGTCTTCTTTGAATTCTTTGCCCGAGCTCCGGAAAGGGGTGTTTTCTTTTCAGACATGGGCAGATGCTGTCAGAGCATTGGGCTTGAATCGTGTTGTTTACCCAGCGCCAGGAGGCAGATGTGTAGCATCGCGGACTGCATGGGGCTGAGCACTGTCTAGCTGGATGTTCCGAAGCTGTTCGAAAACATGCGACGCATCGTCAAATTGTCGTTGCAGATGCAAACACGTTGAGCTGTCCAAGACACGCCAAGTCCCATGAATCATGTTTTCGCACAGCTAGTCAAGCATGGTCATGGCCGCAAAAGACGGGTAGAGGGCTGCTTCAGCCTGGGCCTCAGATTCTCCGCTTTGACCTTGGGGGCGAGCCACTGGGTCACACGAGCTTTGGGATTTGCAAGATGGGCACGGGACATGTTTCTACCGCGTGGCACATCCTCGTGCGATAGTTCCCGTTAGCTTGGCCCAAAGCAGGCGCTGAGTGACGTGGCAGCGGCGAAAATTTGCCTTGTCTCGCACACGAGATCTTGACGGCAGTGTGTCTTTTGGGCGTGCCAACAGGGCATGGATGGGCATTGATCTTCAGCGGAGGTTCGGCAAGCCGCGACTGCCGCAGCGTCTCAGTGCAGTTTCACCCCTTGGGCCATCTCAGTGCCCTGGAGGCAGGCAGGGAGTTGGGCGAGTGCACGTTGGGTGTGCGTCAAATACTTGACTGCTATTGGGTTGGATCTTTAGACTTTACCTTTTGGGAAATCAAGGGGTTTTCCACTAAACCCCCAAAAAGTGAAACTTGGGGGTCAACAGCAACCAAGAATAGTGCAACATCATTACGCCACCCCGGCGTGTGAGATGAGTCACAGATATTCTGTCAGCAAACGAGCCGTCAGGGCAATGGATGGGGGCGATGATGCAGGCGTGGAAGCCGCAAACGCGACTTGGTCGTGTGGTGGATGCCACGAGGCGATCTGCATCACCAGCCTCCCGGCTGGCCTAGCTTCCTCCAAGCCAGGGACTGAGGAAGTCCGGTGAAACCATTTGGGTGTCTCTTCTTTTTGGTAGTTTTTCAAGGGAAGCCCCAACGGGAAATACCCATTTTGGGGTCCCCTGAGACAAACCCACGCACGCCCAGGGATCAGAAGATCTGGTCCAACGAGGTGGTCTCTTCGATGATGAAAGGCTTCGTCCCCAAGCCAAGCATGGCAGACGTGTTTTTTTTGATTGTTTTTTCAATGCGGAGCACCGTTTCAAGAACGGTGGGTGGACAAAAAAGGCCAGAGGATCCCCACTCAAGATAAATACACCTGCATTCCTACCGTTCGAGTTTCCTGCGCATGTGCCGAGTGCGCGCGGGCAGGCTGGCATACGATGTCGGCAGCGTACTAGCGGAGAGACAGGCTGGGGGTTCGCTGGTCCCATTGCATTCTAAGCGAGTCGAGCAGCTCATGTGTGGAGCTTGGAAAGATGAGTCGCTTCTTCCTAGCAAGGCTTGACTCAGACCTATCAATTCGAATTGGAGCCTTGGACAGAAGTTCCGAAGAATTTCCCTGGCGCAGTCAGAGAGGGAAATTTGACCTTGGGGACACTTAGAGCGAGTTGGGAGGTGTGCCCTCCCAACATTCATGGAAGCTGGCAGGATTTCGGCAGACTACTGTCCTTTGGGAAGCCCCCGGGCCACTTCCACAGTTGATTTAAGTACTGGTCATATCCATAGAATCTCCCGGAACCCGAGAGGGTTGTTGCAAAGATTGGTCTCAAATGCTGCATGGTGTGAGGGTGAGTTTTTGGTGATGTTTCCGGCTTGCAGATCGCTGCGGAGCGGCCGCAGCGGGGTGCTCTGAGAGTCAGGACTCTGGTGTGTCTTTTTAGAGGCAACCCTTTTGGTAGCTTTCTATGCATAAGCCAAATTCAATGGAGAATACCAATATTGGAGGTGAGTCCCTGATTTTGGAGGCAAACTCTCTAAACCTGAGCATGTTGAGCACAATGACCAGCAACCAGGAACATGACACAGTTGCAAGAACCCTCTTCGGCGCTTTCTTCACAGTTGGGAAGCCAGCGGGAAGCAGCGACCTTACTCATGCCTTTGCTTGCGATCTCGCTGACAGCCAAACCATCGACCCTAGGCACAGCCTAAGCCGATGTTAAACTTGAAAACCTGGAGAAACGCGGGTCAGAGCCAAACAACCCATGGATAAACCTGGTTCTGGCACGAACAAAATCCGGGTTTTTCGAATGTGGACCCCTTAAAAAAAACCGTCAACAAGACGTAAAACAGACATGTTTTTTTCCGTACAAGCACGGTAAACACCCATACGCAAAGCAACAATCAAAACGTGTTTATTTTCTCTCTTTTCCGGTATCCTGCTTTTTCTGCTGTTTAGTAGCTTATGGTAGATATAGCCATGGATACAGTACCCTTTGACGCGGTTCTGCGGCAGTGTTGAAGTTGATGGGTCGCCGTTTTTGGGTAGCTTCCCATTTACACTCTGCAAGAACCAGGGGGTTCAAACGCAAACAACAACCAATCCAAACCACCAATTGTGAGCAAGCTGATGGTATGTTTCAAGTGGCCGCGAATCGCAGCCAACGCGCCCAAGGCTGCCGGAAGATCTTAGCCCGGCGGGTGGTGCGCTTGCTCCGACTGGCGCGGCTCTTGGGTGTCCGACGGGAACTTCGGGGTCCTCCCAAGGTAGAAATGCATGGTGTGTGTTTTGTTGGCTTCTTTTGAACTGAAATCATCAACAGGGTTCAACAATTTTGACAAACACGCTTGAAACAGAGCCCTTAACGGGGATTCGCTGTAACGGGTTTGGATTTCAGGCAGTTTCAGGCAGAAACAGAACAGCCCAAAACAGCCCGATAAACCAGATTGCCCGGGAAACACCCCGTTTGCGCGATCCCCCGTTAAGAGTTTAATAATCCTGATAAGCAAACACATCCAAACACGTAACTTACTCTCAGACCATCCAAGCATCCATCGTTGGATTGTAAGTGAACGGAATTCTTTGTCATTTGGGAGGGATGATGACGGTTCCCGGAAGTCCGTGTCACTGAAGTGAATATGTAGGGAATCAACCGGTTTGTGTGGGTACCAAAGGTGGCAGGGTTGCTTCATAAGAACCTTGGCGCAGTCGACCCAGCCTGTGGCCACAGCTGAACACCTGAGCAAAGGATTGCAATGGGCTGAGGTATTGCTCGGCCTGAAACTCCTGTCATGGTCGGGAGCTTGGATGCAGCGAAGGCTTGAGGGGCAGTGCAAATCCGTAGAGCGTCTTTGCCCAGGCGTTCGTGGACCGAGCATCTTTTCCGGGGTTTCTAGACGAGGACGAGTTCAAATGCCACGACCACAGTCTTTCTGCCAGTGTTTGCAGTGCCACTGCTTCGACGAAGCGTAGATAGCTTTGGCAGGTGGACAATCGCCAAAGCATTTGGGCAGACCTCAGGCAAGCGTTGGGACTGCGAATGAGCTGAATTCCTTGACAAGGGCCCTCTTAGGTTTAGATCATCGGCGTGTCGAGATGGGAGCTGTGGCTTTAAACTACTGGAAGCCAACAGAATAGTATCTCTTGGCAGGGGACGGTTCCTAATTTTGAATCTCATCCTTCGTTGGAGGCAAGCCCAGGAAGGCGTGTGTACTTGGCTTGCAGGTGGGCGTGGGTGAGCAGAGCCCTTTGAGCCCAGGCACGGGCAGTTGCGGCCACAGGACCTGTGGTGATGCTACTGTGGATGGACGAAGTCCTGCACCACCTAGGAAACCCTGGCATGATGATTCCACTGTATGTACCAACAAAAATGGTTGTCTATGGTTTCAAAGTGGTGCAGGATTTCGTCCATCCACAGTAGGTTTCATGGGTTGCAGACGTCGCAGATCACACACAAGTCACCCCCAAACACACCAGCGGGTTGGCAATCCTGGGTGCGGAGATGCCTTGCGGGTTGCCAGGTGCCGTGAAGTTGACTCCACGGCATATAGAATCGCAGGCAGGGATCAGCCTTCAATGTGGTCATGGTTCGCAGATTACGGCAAAGCCCAGGCGCCAATCACAGGCCTTATCCATTGTCCCCACTAGTGAAGCCATGCAGTGTTTTGATTTAGTTTTGTTTGACACTGTGGATTCTTTCCAGCCGCTGTCAAGGCTTTTTTTGTATCTAGGTGGCAATGCTGTATTGACGCTCGGAGGCATTTCTGCCGTGCACATGCCGCGCATTCTAGTCTTCTTTGGTTTCAAGCAGCAGCGGCCTGGAGTGCGTCAGTGCAAGTACACAAACAACAACCTTGGGTGGCCGTGTTGTCAAAACCAGACAGCTGAGCAAGACAGCACGACCAAGACAGATGTGTCTCGACTCGGGGCTTTCCGGTCAGAGGCTAAGCTAACATTGAACAGATCAAACTCCTTGACCAGCATTGCGAAGGCACAAATGGTATTGTGGCATGTGGATCGGATTTTGCACCGAAAGGAACTGTTTTGAGCACCGCGCACATCCGTGACTGCCATTTCTGGCAAACCAATACCTCTGAGCAAATGTCAGAATCCGAGTTCCCCTGACTTCCATGAAGGCGATTGCCAACATCGCTTGCTAGACTCACTTGCCCAAGGCCGACCTTTTAGCCTGTTCGGCTTCTCCATTTTGCTCCATGTCTAGTGGTTCGAAAAGGTTAACCCTGTATTTTCAGGTCCTCAGAGCAAGTGAGAAACGACTAACCAGGCTGACTATGGGATCTTTGGCGTTTGCCAGGCTCGGCCTGCTGTGCCTAGCGAGCCTATAGTAGACGGGGCCTTAGTCTGACAAAGCGGCTGTGACGTATTGCGGGATAGTATGCCAGTGCGTCCAATACGGTAGCAACAGAGAAAGTGTGACCCTTTGCAGCATGTTGAAGAAAGTATGGATCGAGTCTATGAAAGGACGTTGAATCACGTCAGCCAATCAGCGAATGTAAGCCCAAGTGGATAGCTCCATCGTTGGTGGTTGCTTGATTTTATGCCTTGGTGACAGCAAACAGATCATAGGGTGGCGTGGCCACGTGGGGCTTACGACTTAGTCGGGGGGGGTCCCAAATCCAATGGTCGGATGGCGTTGCCAATTTGGAGTGTCTTTGGTGCCTGGCTCCCACCAGGGACTTTGGATGTCTCGAGGGACATAACAAAAGGCCAGCAACAAGCAGTGGCGCAAAGCACACTGGCCCACTGGCTGGCTTGGGGGCACACTTCCCAACGCATCCCCGAATCTCAACTGCCTCTTTCAGACATAAGCACTTGGCAAAGGTTCATGGAGCTTTGTGAGGGTGCTCATTTGATTTGCCCAAAGGGAAACTTGCGTTGAGCCGCCTACTGTGCGGAATTCTTCCCACCCCCAAATCTCCGACTGGGCCGCGTCGCAAGTCGCAGGGCGCAGCTCGGCTGCCCATTGCGGCCAGATACCGTGAGGAGGACTGGGAGGCCTCTGGACTTCAGGGGTCCCAAAATTGGCCAACGGGGCAGCTTTGAAAGGCCTCGGCCGTTTTTGTTTCTTCCCTTTTTTCCTGGTTCCAACGCAGCTTCAGCCAGAAGAGGGTTTAGAATCGAGGCGATCTAACTATTTGTTGTGCTTTCTTCAAGGTTTCAATATTGTAGCACTGCTCTACACGGACCAGTCTGATTTTGCCGACTCTTTCGCAGGCCGAGCTGCTTGAGTGGAAGAGGAAGTACGGCTGTCCTGCTGGCCACTCAGAACGATCAACTTCCCTCAGCTTTGGAGGCCATCCGAATCCGAAGCTCAGGCCGCCGATAGCTCGCCCGCAAGCCAAGGCGCGGGAGTTCCGAGTTCCCAAGTGGTGTGTTCAATGAAAAGCGCCCTTTTAGATTGCTTGTGAAGGGCAAGAGATTCAACAATAGATGGGATGTTAAGAGTCAATACTTGTAATACGCTGCCGTTCAGTGCCTTTGGTTCTAGACCCAGAAAGAGGACCTAGTTTGCACGACAGGCGCAGCGCCAGCGCAGCCTGCGCAGCCAGAGCAGCCTGCGGAGCCGCGAGCGGCTGAGAGGCTCAACGTTAAGCCTGACAACCGCGGCGGGCATTATGTGGCTAAACGGGTTTTGTGAGGGCAGGCGGGGCACACGTTTGGCGCTACAAAGGGAAGACACGGCAACCATCCGTATTGTGGGGTGCGCCCATTTGGAGACAACCCCGGTTGGTTGCCTTCATTTGTTGTAGCATACTTCCCGAATTATGTTTGTATTTATTCCGTCATTGGAGCATATACAATGAATAGGCCGTCAGTATTCAGCGTCATCTCTGTACAATGCGTGTATACACGTTCACGGCCCCCACCACACCACCTCGGACGAATTTCCACCCTGGTTGGGTTTGCGGCCGAGGCTGCCGAGCGCTCCAAGCGCTCCGAGCGTGGAGACCGGGAGGGTAGCCAGTCCCAACCCAGAGGCAGGGGAGCCCTCAGGGTTTTAGCTCATTGGAACGTGTCAAAACGTGAGGGCACCTTTTGGCTTGAGCCAAGCGCACATCGCATAAAACAGTTAAAGGCACTTTTGATACGCGTTCTCATGTTTAAGGTGACCTCCTAGATTCGCCCAGCACTTGTGTTGTTTCTTGGGGGCTTGACTCACCCGTGCTACGATTTGCCCAACAGTCAGTGGGATCTGGTGAGTTGGGCCTAAGCTTATTGCTTTGGGCAAGGAAGGCACCGCAGAGTCCAAGCCTCCGAACCCCGCCAGAGTCCATACCGGGGAGGGTGTTGGAAGATGTTACCGGCCCTGAGGTAAGGTTCCACGAGGGTTCCACCAGGGTTCCACGTTTGTTCCGGCGGCATCGGTCTGCAGTGCGAAGTGCGGTCCGCTTGCGACAGGATGGCAAGTCAGAGCCATCGGGGCTTGACGCGCCGCCCAGGCTCACCGGGCTCGTGTGGCTTAGGTCTCCCGAGGTCTGTGGCAAAACGGGGAACCCCGCATGGCCATGGGGACAAAGGAAATACCCACGGTTTAGGGCTACTTCAAGACGAAAGCATGCTTTTCTCAGCCAGCGCGTAAGGGAAGCCAAGCTACAGCCGACAGCAAGCAGAAGGTCCTGAGATTGACATCCAAAGGGACGGTTTTTCCCTTCCCCTCGCTTTTTTGCTCACGAAGTCACAAGAACACTGTACAAGCTGACTCGGAAACGGGCGTGGCTGAATTTTGAGGACCCGAAGGACCTGGCAAATCTGACGATCACGAAGGCTTTGCTTTGCTTTGCGACCTCACCCATGATGGCGGTTGGTGGATTAATTATTATGTTTCGCCCGGACCGCCAGATTGGCGTTGTGCATGTTTCCTCTTGGGAATCACTGCTCGATCAGCGGTTTGCAGGTCGAATGAGCAGCCAGATGCGGCGGCGCCGGCGGCACCAGCGCAGGCTGGAGCTGGGGACAGGCCAGCACTTGTGAGACTCCAGACCGCTGGAGGGGCTCTCATGTTCTTGGCTGGACCCTCTTGAAACGGAGGGGTTCCGCTTCTTGCCAGGATTTGTTTGGCATGCGGCTTGTCCAGCCCTCTTCTGATGTGAAAGATTCCACGAATCGCTGTGCAGGCTTGCTTGCGTGTTTGAAGCAACAACCCGGGCTTTGAGTTGGCCACAGCTGATGTGAGACGACGATTTCTATTAATTAGGGGGCCTTTTGAAATATAGCCTAGATATGTATATTATAATATACATTTAATTATACATAATATATGTACCTACAGGTGATCCAGTAAATGGGTCCAGCCAAATCCCAGCTCGGTAGGTGCCAAGCGAGCTGGTGACCACGCCTGCAAAGCAGCTGGCAGCCGAGCTTGCGAACGCCGTTTGCGAGGAAAGAGAGAGGACGAGTCGAGGGCGTTGGAACACGGCAAAAGCATCAAGAGGCTGATTTTGAGTTGCCTTGCCGCAGACTACGGTGACCAGTGACTGAACTGCGAGCTTTATTCCAGCAGAGTATCTCTGCTGTTTGACACCAACTCCATCGCGAACAGCGCTTGGAAAGATTGAGACAAACGGGCTTTGTTCCCCCCCAGAAGTGGCTTGTAATTACAGTGCCGAAAACGTTGCAGATAGCTCAAGCTCGGCGATTTTCTGTGCTGCGGGCCACTTGCATTTGACCAGTGCAAGAGTGGGTCCACCCTCCCCGTTGCCAGGACCGAGGAGAGGACTGGGGAAGAGCCACAGGTGCCGAGCTCGCTACGCGGAACATCAGCAAGACAAGTGCAACAACCTGGCAAATATTTCCAAGTCCGGGTTTTGATTAAGGGAACATGGAACTTGGAGTTCGACCATTGCTAATGTCAAAATGGCATTGACAAAGCCAAGGTGGCACAGCATGAATGCTCGTGTGTGTGTGTGTGCCTGTGCCTCTGCCTGTGCCTGTGCCTGTGCCTGTGCTTGTGCGTGGGAGAGGTGTGTGTGTGTGTGTTGTGTGTGTTGTGTGTTGTGTGTTTGTGTTTGTCCTGCTTTTGTGTCTTTGTGTGTCTTTGTGCGTGCATGCCCGCGGTGCCTGTGCGTCTGTGTTCGTGCACTTTTGGAAAACATAGTGCGCATGGTTGATTCGTGACAGCACGGAATACCCTTAACCTAGACCCACACACATCCTATAGACTGGCCGTTTGCACCCCCAAATTGCAAGGACCTTGGCGCATAGTCACAAGCACCTTCAACATTGCTTCAGCCGCAAGGGACAGGCTAGTCCTAACCCCGACCCCAAACCCTAAACCAAAAGCCAGATCAGCAATTCCGAAGCCACCCCACATCAATTCGGGTCCCAGCCTGGGATGGCCTTTTGCCATCCCTTGTGTTTGTGTCGTTTGGGAATCTTCAGTGTTTCCGGGGGTTTGAACCGCCTGGTGCCACACTGAGGCCATGGACGGGGAAACCAAAGCGCCCTGCGCCGGGTGGCTTACGAGCCGCATGCGTTTCAGTCGAGTCTGATCCTCAATCCTTCGCAAACCATGGTCCCTTTTAATAACCAAGGCGCCAAGGTTGCCCAAAATATTCCCAAAATTGTAGGGATTGGGATTGGCCAACCCTCCATTTTGAACAGCCGGCTCAACGGCTTGTTCCCCTAATCGACAAGGAGCCCAAAAAAGGGCCTCAAGGGAGGTTCCAGGTTCCCAGAATATGAGGTCCAAGATGCCCGCAAAAGGATGTCCCCTCCAGTAGTTAACATGTCGCATGTCGCAGGCAGTTGACTTTGGCTTCAGACCTGTTGAGGTGCCGCCCGGTCGCTCCGAGCGTCCTGCCAGCCGCCGGGACCGAGCGCCGGGAGCTCAAAGACCTGCGCGTTCTCGGATCGCTCGTTGATCCTTACAAAACATCAGAGGCAGGGGATCTAGAGACAATTCGAAGGGCGAGTGTGGGCCCGGAATTTCCTGCCAATTCATTACCCCATGTCCTGGCTACGCTACTCAAGATACAGTAAAACGGCCAGGGGACTAGAATAAGAGCCCATACAACTCTCTTGGGAGGCAAGCCAGCCGTTCCCCCCACCCCTACCCTCCCCCATATTTGGACATGTCCTGCGACGACGGGACGCTGCGCGAGGCAAGCAACGCTGGTGGTGGCCAAGGCGGAAGAGCCGCCGCAGGCTGACATGGCACCTCAGCTTGGTCCTTTGATGCATGCGCACTCGTGTAGGCGCTAGACGCTGGCCGAAAGGCCATGTACACCCAGCAGGAGCCATCGGTTGCGTGCCTTTACGCTTGCGAGAGGTTGGGAGGCAGTGCTCCAAGTTTGGGGTTGGCTTCAAGAGTTTCCTGTCCGAGGACCTGGCGATTGCCACAGAGACTGCTCGAAGTGGGAAGCCCAGCGAAATACGCCACTTGTCACTCAGACGGCAGACCATTGCACAGTGGCATTCCCCTCCCAAAGCAACCGCAACCGAAAAACCGCATAGTCCGATGTGGAGAAACGTTGCCTCCATGTGCAGCCAGCATACTTTGAGGCAAAGCAGCCGGGGACAATGGCTGGATGAGTGACTTTCAGGAGGCGCGTCGCTTGACTTCTGTGGTTCCTCGAAGCCAAACAATGGCCGAATTGGGCACAACCCAACAAGTGCTGGAGAATATGTCCTGATCCTTCACGGATTCATGCTCTCATGTTGGCAGGCAGTTTCGGGCCATGATCAAACCCGGACAAGTGAATGTAGCGGACAGTCTCCACCAGAATTACAGGGCCACCTTGGTGTGCGGAAACACAGGTTTGGATTGCTCTGGTGTGAGGCAGCTCTCAATGTACGAGATTTCTTCCAGGATTTGAGGACTGCGCACTTCATGCTTTCGCACGTCGCTGTCACATTGATTCCAATTGCGATCAGACTCGGAGACTCAAGTATGTGAGCACCCAAAAGCCCAGAAGTTCCATCACAGATGTGCAAACATTCCAGCCGCTTTTCTCACCAGAAATCAATCATGACAACAAACAAAGCACGGAAAGGCAGGAACAAGTTGGACAGATAGGAGATAAGGGGATCCACAATTTGTTGGGGTTGCTGCAATCGATAGATCAATTTGACGAATGTTGCAAACGTTGTCATGTAATTCACTGTTTAGTCTGTCGTCGTCTACTTTGAAACAAACATGCTGAAAGAAGGTCAGTCCACGATGCTTTTTGGAAACGCCGACGTTATGCTACAGTAGCATGGGTTCCCAGCATTGAAGACGGTCCCACCGCCCCTAGAATCAATGGCAGTCGATCCATGTTGAAGAACGGGATAGATGTTACTGCTAGTTGCCCAAGTCGCTGCGTTTTGCAGAAAACAACTAATGGAGGTGGGGATGGGGATGGGGGTTCCAACAGAGTCATCATGCCTTTAGCGTTCCATGCAGGTTTTGGAGGAATCAGTTTCGTGACATGATTGTTGTCGTATCCATATTTGTTTGGTGGATGCGTGTTTCACTTGGGGTTCCATGATATTATTTAGGGCTCTTCAAGCTGGGTATCTCGTAGCGGACGTGTTAGTACAATATTATGCAATCGTCGCCCCTAGTTTCAATAAATCATCAACCTTTCACATGAGGTTCAGGCAAACCGTCCAGTAGTCCACAGGATCAATTTGGTAAGAACATAGGGAGGACTCACTTACAAACACGCAAACACCAGAGGGACACTAAACTTGTTTGCCTTGTCGACACATTTCGATGGTGGCTTACAGCCGCGGGACGTCCTTTCCTTTTTGCTGTTCCAGTGGGATGCTCAGATGCTTGTATCCTCTTCCATGCGGATTGACTGAGAGCAAGGCTCCTTCAGCGAGCATTTAGTATATTCTGTACCTTGGAGGTCCCTGCATAAACGCTTCATCCACTAGCAAACCCACAGGAAGAGCCGGGACCGAGAAAAGGGCCGACAAGCCACCGGGCCCCTGTGGCTCCACCTCGCCGCACAGGCCGGATCCGGATCGATTGGATTCACACCCGCGGGAAGAAAACACACAGCAGTTCCTTGTTTGGCAAGTGGTTCAGCAGAACTTGCAGGGATTCTGCAGCTTAATTCCTGCTGCATCTTCGCACCTCTTTGCGCAGAAAACACTTGTGGTTTAAAGATAGGTTCCCCACTTGGCAGACTTTCAGATGGGGAGGCGAAGAACCTGGCCGATCAGCTGGATTTGCCGCAACTCTTGGAGGCTGGAGCCCAGATGGCAAAGGTTTCAGGTCGCAAATCACTCCCCCTAAAAGAAAGCAGGGACAAGGGAAGAAACACATTGCTTGCTTCCCTGGACATGATGACCATGATGTCATGAAGTGCGGTGTGTTTCATTGAATCATGTCATGGACTCATTCCAGTGTTTGCTTAGCCACTTCTTGGTGCATTAACTTATTTATACTTACTTTTTCAGACTTACTTGTTCATACTTATTCAATGATTGGATCGATTGGCTTCTTGGTTGCGCACGCATGCATACAGATCTCTGTGTGCACTTCTTGCGCCAGCTTGGGAATGTGCCAAGCACAGATGTGTCAGGCCCTTTCTTGATGGAAGTTTGCAGAGCACCAGCAGGAAACCAGCACCGTTGGAAGGTGCAGGCAACCTGAAGTCCCTCACAACATGGCCTACTTGACAGCTTCCTGAACCTAATGTTTGCTTCCGACGCCTTGCGAAACCACTAACATTCTTCGGGATTCAGCCCATTTCCTGAAAGGAGAAGTCTCTGGAAGTGGACGAAGCATCGCTAAACTTGTGGCAGTCCGATGTGTTGCCGACTCAGCGAGGTGCTGAAGCTCTTCTGCTCGGTGCGCTACGAGGACTACGAGCTCTACATGCGCTTGCTCGGGGAGGTAGGATGGCGCAAAAGCTTGAGCAAACGCAGCTGCACAAGTTGTGGACATGGAAGGGGGACACAAACGAATAAGCAGATTTAGGGAGGGAGAGATGGATGCTGATTGGAGTGCAGGTGCCACATTATGTCAAGCAGGCGCGGGGAAAGCTGCGCTGCCCGCCTTGGAAATCCAGTGTTCTGCTCTCCATAGTCCTTCTTGTTGAAAGCCAGTAGCATTGGCGTCCTGCCATATTGGAGTTTGCCACAAAGAGGCAGTTGTGTCACCTTTGAAAGGAGTTTCGAACACCTGGCCATCGCCATTTGTTAGCTTGCGCTGGTGAACTGGCTCCATGCGTTACCGGTAGCCTGCTGGAACATTGACGTCCCCGTGTTTCGTTGCCTGACAGTTTGGCCGCTGAGCCAGCAATGCCGGACTTAGCCTGAATCGCTTGCTAGGCATTCTGAGCATGGTTTATCCGTTTGCAGAGAAGACACAGCTACCATTCTCATCAGTATGTTTCATCCGATTGCAGAGGACACAGCTACCCCATCCTATTCCATCCTACCCCATCTGGTTGTTTTGGTGGGGTCGTGCCTAGGTCTGCAGAGAAGACAGCTACCCCATCCTTTGTTTTGGTGGAGCCACAGCTACTCCTGTTTTGGTGGAGAACTGCGCCTAGGCCTCTCACCAATGGCCAGGCTGTGCCTCCCATTACCCGCCCTCCCGAAGAGGCCTCGGCCGCGCAGCTGGCGGAGCTGGCGCGGCTCATGGCGCGCCGGCGCCTGCGGGAGCGGAACTACGCCGGGGCACCGAGTGTCGCTTTGTGGAGCCCGAGCTCTGGGCGAGCAGTGTGGGACACGGGAGATCCCAAGAGGTGGAGATCTATCAGTTTCATGATTGATTTGTTTGTTTTTGTTTTTTGGTCGGGGGTCCCTCCAAATCAAGATAGGGAGGTCTGTTGGCTCTTAAGGGAGTTGGTCACAAATTGAGCCAACGTACCAAGGGAACCCCCTGTTTCAGGAAACACCGGCTTAGTGAACAGCCTAATTACTTTATTGCTAACTGTGGTAATGATTACTTACCAGTGGGGGTGGTCATCCGAGGAGGGCATGTAAATGTGTGCGTGTTTCTTTGAGGGCCCAAACTTGAGTTGTTGTTTGCCGGGAGGGCATGTTGAGGTGATCCCAAAACCGGTGTTCGGTCTTCCGAACGCCTCGGAACGGCCGGCTAGCAGAGGTCTCAAGGGGCATTGCAGATGTGTGGCCACCAGAGGCTTAGTTTGATCTGGGTGTACTTCGTGCCTTTGCCAATTCGATGGCCACATTGGGTGGGAAATGCGAACACGCAAAGCACACCAGTGATAGTGCAAACAATCTATAGATGTATAGAAGGATCAATCACGTCCGCTCGCTGCATCAGACAGTTGTTTGTTGGTTGCTTTTCCTCGGAGCTTGGCATCCACTTCATGCGCGGATGCCAGAGAAGGTGTGGTTTGTTGCTTTCCCGGGCTTGCCAGGACCCTTTTCTGGCTTTTTGACTGCTACGCGTAGGCCCATGGAAAACTTCCGTGAAGCAGCTCTTGATCTCCACTTGCACCACAGCTCCCACTTCCCGACCTCCAGCCTGGCACCTGCGTAAGTAAAATTGAAGCCCTGAATAATAGTTATATATATATATATATATACGCGAGAAATGAAGCTTATTAGGGTTTAGGGTTTAGGGTATGCGCTCTTGTCTCTCTCTCTCTCTCGATAAATGCAGTGAGTGAGAGGAGAGGAGAAAGGAAGAGATGTGGCATTCCTCAATCCGTCCGCAAATCCCATTTGTGGCCTTTAATGCTTGAAGGACATGATGATGGACGGAAGGAATGGACCGCCTAAGCTTATTTGCTCATTCGCAGTGTGCCGGCAGGTATAATCTCTGTCTCTTCATGCGCCCGGGCCATTTTGTGAATCGTTAGACTAGAAAAGCGAGAAAGGGATTTGGCAGACAAAGGGATGGGATTTCTCTTGTTCTATACCCGATCTAGGCATGTCAATATGTAGCAACCGGCTGCTATCACCAATCGGTGTTTGCTTCAGGGACACGGCTTGCAGTTGCCCGTGCAAGGTTGACATGGTGGTGGCACATTTGCTCAGCAAGATTCGCGTGTCAGAGGACAACCTCAGCATGAGGCGACAGAGTTGATAGGTAGAAATATGTGGGATGTCGAAGAAAGGGCTGCCTTCTTCTCATAGACCTAGTTGATGTCGATCTTCCTGCCACGGAGGAGCGCAGCACATGCATGGCATCCAGAGAGCTGTCCAATTGTGCGTGGCCAGGCTGATGGTGAAGACGGCCAATGCTTTGGCAGCCCTAGAGCACGCAGCTCAGCCAGCGCAATCACGAGTTTCTTCTGAAATATCTCTCTCCTTGTATCGCAGTTGCGATTTTGCGGGGAGCTCCCTCCTTGTTCGTGCTCGGCGCATGCAACCTGTAAGTGGCTGTGCTGACTGGCATCGGCGTAGCGGCTGCAGCATGCCATGGTCAATCCCGGCTGAGGTGCAGATCGCAGCCAAAGTTTGTGGAGCACTTCAACCGACACTTCGAGCACCGTATCGAGGACCCGGGGAGAAAAGGTCGGCGTAGGAAAGCTCAGCTCCAGCTTTGAAAGGCACTGAGACCATAAAGGATTCCTGAAGGGTCATGATCCTCATATTTGTCTCGCATGGAGGAGATGGAGGAGATGCCCCAAAACTGGGCGTGATTTGACGTGGGACTCCGGCAGGGAAAAGCAACGACCCGCAGTCCTACGATGGTTGATTGTGGTTTGTCTTGTTTGCAGGGACTCCAGGGGGTCGCGATGGTGGTTTGGATCTGTGACAGCTCCAGGAATTAGATCCCGAGCTTTGCTGCATGGTGTCGCCGGTCTTCATGGTGAACTACATGAGCTCGGCCGACAGTGTCAAGAGAGAGGGAGACAGTCGGGATTTTGAGACCCAAGGATCCCATCAAGGGCAACGGTGGTGTTTGTGTTTGTTGGATTGCTTCCAGCGACAAAGCAAACCGGCAAACCAGAGGCGCCTACCATTGACCACCTAGATCATTGCGGCGTTTGCCTGTTAAAGCATGCTGCTTTGGCTTTTCATGGGACAACTGTGGAGTCCCCAATATGGTCCTTCTTGTCATGCAGTGACCACTACAATGTGCTCGTTTGGCTATGCAAGCAACTGCCATGATGTCTGTACAAGGTATGCATGCGTGCACATGAATCTCAAAACTGTGCAAACAGGACCCTGCATTGTCACAAACCTGGGAGACTTTGTGGAAACATTGCGTGAGAAACGGTCAACATGGACCGACATCTACTGCAGTAATCGGATGATTTTTGGGGTGCACTCATCAATATAAAAGTCACCAGAATCAAAGCTATTGGAGGATGCAATGGATACACAGCTCATATGGGTGTGGCTCAATGGGCTAGGGTTTCACGGGTTCTAGTATGTTTTAGTCTTTGGTTCCATTTGTCAAGGTGCCATTTTGGTACATTTTTCGAGCCACCGCCATATGAGTCAACATGGTCCAGGAAGTGATCCTCAGGTGACGCGTTGCGGAGGTCCTTCCTGAAGCGATGTGCTGAGGCTCAGGCTAGCATTTGACATGTGAAGCGAAGCACGCGCAGTAGCTTAGCTACACAGCGTTTGCAGCTGCAAGTGGCCTGTGGGATTGTCCCTTGCCAGGCAGGATTCACTGGGGAGGCACCTATTCGCAACCTTGCCTGCATAGAGCTGGCTCTGCGCAAGGAGCCCCTCGGAAAATGCGGTTCAAAGGGACAAGGTGCATACAGAGTCATAGAGCTTTAGGGGTTTGACAACTTGTGGCATCGGTGGCCACCATTCTCCAGAGAAGTGTGGCAAAATGACGACCTTTGAGACTTGAAGCACGTAAAGAGAGCATGGCTCGCTGGAACCTGCCTGCGAATCCTGCGTTTGCCCGCAGGAGCAGCACTCTCTGGTGGCTTCCTTGCCGCAATTTGTGGTGCGCTACCTGGAGAAGGCTGGGAGAGGGTGGCTCCAAGCCTGTGATACCCGAATCAAGGTGGGAGACTCAGGCAGGTTGCCCGACACATCCCACTTGCCTGCATGTGCCACTCAAGCAACCCCTAGCTTCTCGACTGTAGGGTCTCAGCCTCGTGTTGCAAGACTGGAACAGGTCCTGTTTGTTTGTTCTCAACGGATACACCCTCTCTCCGCTGGCATTCAGGCATTCAGAGCACACGTACTTTGATCCAGTTTGGATTTGAAGGGTTCAATCAGTGGCCCGTGTGACGTGGCAGAAGGAAGCTGATATGTGAGGTTGTCTCTAAGTGGTTTTCCCTTTGTTTCCCCTGAAACCAGCCACTGAGACGGTAGGACACCCAAAAAACGGATCCATAGCAAAGTCTGAAGCCAGGTGAGAGCGCAGTCCGAGTTCGACAAGTGGGGCTCGGTGCCTTGCCTGGTCTTTGCCGCCTTCCGTCCTGTGGGTAGCACCCTCTTTTTGACCTTTGGTCGGTTGGTGGTGGCTGTCTTTGTTCGGTGATGTAATCGCCTTTTGCGCGCTAGTGCGAGTGTCAGTTTGGTGATGCGTTAAGAGGACATGGGGCACTGTGACGCACAGAGCCGGATCGGCAAGGCTTTTGCCAACCGTTCTCGTTGAAACATCAGGCCACATGGTCCTTAAGAGAGCCAGACCAAAACTGCTTACTTAGTTTGGAGTTATCCCCGCCCAAATCTGATGTCCACTGAGGTGGTGCTGCCGACCACGGTGGCGCCAGATGGCCCGCGAGGCCGCAAGAAGTCTGGGCTCGCCATAGAGCAACGGCATTTCAAACAACGTGTGCCTGACAAACTCCCACATCAGCTATGCACAGAATCCAGTATGGAAATCATGATGTTCTTTTTTGTTTCTGTGTCTCTGTCTTTGTCTCCATGCCCGTCGGTCTTTCTGTGTCTGTCTCTGTTTCTCCTGTCTATCTTCTCTCTGTCTCTCTGTGTCTCTGTCTCTGTCTGTCTGTCTCTCTCATGTCAGGTCGATTCGCTTTGGAATCGCATGCGATATTTGGTCTTAGTCCCTGCTTTTGGACTGGAAGAAGGGGTTGGTTACCCCTTCACCTTGGAAGGTTGAGGCTTGCAGCCCAAACAAATCAAAGAGCATTTCTCACTTGCTCTCGGACCTGAGAACAACATGTGATCACCTTTTGGGACCTTTTGGGACTATGAAGCAACGCTGGAAACCCGGATTGGGTCAGATCCTGACAACTGATTGGACTTGGAACGCCTTGGGTGATGGCTTTCGACACCCAAGTGGGTATCCAACTTCACGACAGCCCAAAGGACCTGGACTTGAAATATGAAGCAAACATAAGCAAATCTCTCGCTCACTCTTGTCTCTTTGTCTCTCGGTGTCTTTGTCTCTCTGTGTGTTTGTTTCTGTCTTTCTCTCTGTCTCTCTGTCTTTCTCTGACTCGTGCGTGATGGATGGCCATACCTTTGCATGTGTTGGTGGCCATCTCAAAGGTTTGTTTGCTTTGACCATTGGAAAATCAAGCGATTGGGGTCAGGCATCAAGAGGAGAAACTCAAAACCTCAAGTAGCGTTGGCGCCTGTGGGACTGGTCAGGGGCTTTGCCTGCCCTTTACCAACGCGGATGACTTATTTAGAGCCATTTGGCTACATGCCAGGACCAGAGCGACCCCCTGCCCGGTTCATTGTTAAAAGAAGAAAGTGACATTGGCACGTAGTCAAGCATGAGAGGTTCATGGCATGCCTGCTCGGGGGAGCCCATTTCTCAGCACCCAGCGAAGGTGATGACCGACAGGAGCTGTCGGTGGCTTTGCTGCGGAAGGCGCGGGTTGATTCGAGCGATGCGCCATGGCGAGGCCCTGTGCATCCTAAGCTAAGGGACTCCTGTTCAGTGGTTGCTTTCCTATTGAAGCGCCTTTGAAACCACAGGGAATTCTGGCAACTCTCAAGATTAGTATTAAATGTCACAATAGGTTTTTGGTGTCCCTTTAAACCAACCTGAAAACGATACCAGCTCCAAACAACACACATCGATGAAGACCCATCAAACACTTCGCGACCCGGTCCCATATTGACTAGCTTGCTGCCCAGCAACCCTTGAAGCCCGGGCGAATGCGAAGCTATTTTGTAGTGGCTTGCGTGTAGAGTTGGCAATGTGCAAGTGGCCAGGGAAAATTCAATTTGGGCCTTTGGTAGCAAGTCCACAGACAGCAATATTTCCCGCCACCCCCCATGATCCTTCCGTCAGCTGCATGAGGGTGGGAACGCTGATTGGGGGGGCCTTTGGCTCCGTCCTATAGGAACTCCAGTCGTTTTTGGTGTTCTTTTTTGTGGTGGTGTTTTGGTATTACATTTGGCTATGTCTCATTTGTGAAAGCAACGTGCAGCTCCTTCAACTTTAGAGCCTCCGGCTCAGTCCGCCGACATTGTCCTCTCCCTTTTCTCCTTCTTCCTCTCTCCCTTGTCTCCCTGGTGTGTTCTGTCGTCCTCTCTCCCTCCCTCCGCTCCCCATCCTCCCCATCCCCCCAAGCCACTCTCTCCCCAATCTCCCTCTCTCGTATGTATGTATGTATGTATGTATGTATGTATGTATGTATGCATGCATATATGTATGTATGTAATGTAATGTAATGTAATGTAATGTAATGTAATGTAATGTAATGTAATGTAATGTAATGTAATGTAATGTAATGTATGTATGTATGTATGTAATGTATGTATGTATGTATGTATGTATGTATGTATGTATGTATGTATGTAATGTAATGTAATGTAATGTAATGTAATGTAATGTAATGTAATGTAATGTAATGTAATGTAATGTATGTAATGTATGTATGTATGTATGTATGTATGTATGTATGTATGTATGTATGTATGTATGTATGTATGTATGTATGTATGTATGTATGTATGTATGTATGTATGTATGTATGTATGTATGTATGTATGTATGTATGTATGTATGTATGTGTATGTATGTATGTATGTATGTGTATGTGTATGTGTATGTATGTATGTATGTATGTATGTATGTATGTATGTATGTATGTATGTATGTATGTATGTATGTATGTATGTATGTATGTATGTATGTATGTATGTATGTATGTATGTATGTATGTAATGTAATGTAATGTATGTATGTATGTATGTATGTATGTATGTATGTATGTATGTATGTATGTATGTATGTATGTATGTATGTATGTATGTATGTATGTATGTATGTATGTATGTATGTATGTATGTATGTATGTATGTATGTATGTATGTATGTATGTATGTATGTATGTATGTATGTATGTATGTATGTATGTATGTAATGTATGTATGTATGTATGTATGTATGTATGTATGTATGTATGTATGTATGTATGTAATGTATGTATGTATGTATGTATGTATGTATGTATGTATGTATGTATGTATGTATATGTATGTATGTATGTAATGTATGTATGTAATGTAACGAATGTAATGTAATGTAATGGGAATGTATGTGCAATGAACCCAAGGATGCGAATGCAAAATGCAACGAACGTGCATGCAACATGGTGTATGTGAGGCACACAAGTATGTGGCCAATGCATGTACATGTATATGCATGTATGCGTGCATGTATGTATGATGCATACATATTATGTATGCATGTATGTATGCAATGTAATGTATGGATTGTATGTGGGCCCCCCCCCCCCCAAGGACCGCGCGGCAATTTGATGACGTTCCACTAAACGTAGTCTTCGGGGAGCCGGTGTCGCAAAACAGGGGTCCCAGGCTCGATTCCCCCTGCCGCTTTTTTGCTGGCATTTGGGGCTCCTGCCTCCTTTTGCCTAAAATCTGGAAAAACTCAATGTTTTTGGACGCCCTGCTTAAAAACTTTTTTTTAATAAATATAATGTAATGTAATGTAATAATGTAATGTAATGTAATGTATGTATGTGGTAATGTGATGTAATGAAAGTAATGTAAGGATGTTGTAAATGTAATGTATGTATGTATGTCTGTATGTCCTGTCTGTATGTATGGCGTATGTATATATCCTTGCACTTCCCCTTTGCTCCCCAGTATTTCCCGCAAAAAACACTGTTTTTCCAGCGTTTTCGCAAAGAGGATGTCCAAAAACACAGAGTTTTTCCAGATTTTCGCAAAAGGATGCAGGAAGCCCAAGCCAGCAAAAAAGCCGGCAGGGGAATCACTGGGCCACCCCTTTGCGACACCGGGTCCCCGAAGACTACGTTTAGTGGAACGTCATCAAACTGCCGCGCGGTCCTTGGGGGGGGGGGGCCCCCCCCTCCCCCCCACGTATCAGACGTCGGGTGGGGGGGGGTTAGGGGGGGGGTTATCCTCTATCCTCTCTTAGGTGTCCGACACGCCGAGCAATGTCGGCGGACATGTTTGGCGGGCTCAAATCCCAATGCATCCGGCATTGACCAAATTGTTCCCAATTCAAACTCGAGCACTAAAGAAGAGGCTAAGAACAAAATGAACTTGATTTTTCGAGGGCCTCTGATGAGTCAGCGTTTGACCATTGGTCGTTGATATCCCCAGTTCAGTCCCCTAGGCGGGATTTGCGCTGCATATCCCCCACGGAACGGGAAAAAAGAAGCTTGAACGGGAATGGCTTGATCGGGTGCATCATGATGAGAGACCTTCAGACAATCAGGCTGCGGGCTCCAAGTGCAACACCACGGGTGATGTCTTCAGCTCTGACATGCACCGCGACGTGAGTGCGCGGGGCATCCCAAATCTGGAAGGGCCGATGGCATGTGCCGACATCTCTTCAGGGTTTCCATGCATGGTTAAAGCGTCTGCAGTTTGAGGCGGTACATTTGAAAAAGCTGCACAAGTTGGTGCGGCATGAAGAGAAATTATATTTTCGCGTTCCGAGGTGTTTGACCCACCTGGGCATTGAGCATGAGAATGGCGTGGTCACTGGCAGGGGGCTTAGCCCTGACTTGAGCTGCTCGCAGTGCCAAGCAATAGACGTCTCGGGATGTGGGGGCAGACTCGCGCCGCGTCCAAGCAAGGTCCCTACCTGTTGGATATTGTGGCCAAAGACATGGTGAATCCATCCCGCCGCATCATCTACGAGGCAAGGACGACGTGGGTGTTTGCAGTATTTACTGCGGTTGAGCTGAATCTTCTTGGTGTAGAGCGGAGCTTCCAGGCAAGGAGAACAGTCACCTAGCTTGACTGGGAATGGATGCTTGTGGCCAGCATCTCTCGAGCAAGGTGAATTCACCTCATCACTTCTACGAGGGCACTAAGGCGCCTAAGCGAAACATGGCCAAGCTGCGCCTGTTCCCAGAGCAATGAGCTCAAGCCCTGACAGGCTCTCGTCGCTGACAAGCGACTGAGACACCGCCTCCTGGGTCGATTGGGTCACCACTTGCACATGGTCAACGCCTACGACTGGAGGCATGATTTGTGGACCATGTGGATTGAAGTCCTGGTGTGCGTCACCTTTCACACATGTGCGCAGGCCGCTGGCAGCAGCCGCCAAAATGACCTTCTTGCTGAAAATCCAGCAAGAGCAGCAGGAGAATGTGCGGTGCACTCATGCAAAACGTCCATGCCGTTGACATTGAAGTGCCGCTCTCTAGAATTCGACTCATGAGAACTGACTTTTGTCGAGCTGGACGTGCCGGTGGGGAGTGAGCATAGGACAAGCACAGTGACGAGTACAAGCAGCAGGCGCATTGGGCAAGTGTCCTCAAAACTTAAAGGCAGAGGCATACAGAGGAAGTTCTGCAACAGTAACATCCTGGCAGCCATAGGGGCAACTTCTCCCCACAGGTGGTTTAACACGAAAAAGATCAAGAGGAAATCAGCTCAGGAAAGTTCAATCTGTTCCAAAGCAAGCCATAAGCCGGCCAGGCGGCCGCCAATGTCTCGCGGGCGCCACTTGCACTTCGGCCTGCTGCGAAGCAGCAGGAGCCGCCCAAACCCCAGAGCGATGCGACCAAGCGACAGTAAGCCACACAGAGGCATGGTCAAAAGACCCGATTGGTGGGGATGGATGGTCATCGACTTTGTAACAGAGGTTTTAGACAAATGCGAAGGTTAGAACGGAGCCACGACCATGACCCACAATACCATACAATACCCACACAAAGAGCTTTGACCACACATTTGTTCGAACTTTGAATGAAGGCTTTGGCAGGCTGAGAGGCCAAAACAGAAACAAGGCGAATGGCGCTTGTCCACAACCCCGCAAAGCAGACAATCTTGATATTCGCAGGAGTTTCAGCATAAGATGCTGAAAAATGTGTGACTTGCAATTCTCCACCACACCCCAGGTTGAAGCTGAAGTCTCCAAAGGACGACACCAAAGCGCCTATCACAGTGCCAGAACACCTGGCGCAATTGTCGGGCTCATTGTGGGACCTCAATGAGATGCATGACATTTGCTGACAGATACAACCAGATTTGTCTTTGGCAGGTTCCGCCGTCTTTACGAAACCAGCCACAACATCCGGTCATTGTATGACCTTTTGTATCCAAAAATTATCAATATCAACAAAATGTCTTGTAAAATCAGAGTTATGTAATTGGAACATAAAATTGCCGGCAGATTGTGGGCAGCCTAATTGAGCCAGGTGTGTAGTTTTCTAGGGTGTGTGTGGTGTGATACACGTAATAGGTATCTTTTGAATTTTGTTGTGATGTGAATTTGGTTGTTTTTTTGGTTTGTAGAATTGAGATATATTGGATTATGTAAGGAACATATTAAATTAACAAGTAATATGATAACAAAAAAATGAGATGGATTTGAATTATGTTAAAAAAAAAAAAAAAAAAAAAAAAATGAATTTGTTGGTTTGATATGATTTTTATTATTATTGATATTAGATTGGTTATTTATTTGAAATATATTGTATTATGTTGTATTAAATTGATTTTGAATTGGAATTGGATTATAGAAATCTTTAATAATTTGATTTGTTTATTTTTATTATTTGAAGATATATTTAGGAGAGTAATGGATTGTGAAATATGTGTTTTTAGATTTTGTATTTTAATTTTAGATTTTGATATTATAGAATGTAGTTTTGTATTTTAATTTTTATAAATAATATATATATATATATATTAATTAATTTTAGAAATATATTTTTATATGTTGATTTATATATGGATGTTTATATAGATTATATTATTTATTACTAATATATATATTAATATGTATTGAATATTGTTAATATTTATTGTTATTTATAGATTGAAACAAAATATAATTATGATTAAATTTATTTGTAATTATTTATTTATGAATTATTATATATAAATTTATATTGATTATATTTAATTATTTCGACATTGTAATAATTATATAAGTTAATTGATTATTTATAATTTTAATTTGTAAAATTTTAATTTACTATAATTAATATTATTAATATATATTAAAATATTATTATTATTCTTTAAAAGGAAATTATGAAATTTGCTCGTTGCTCTTGACTGCCCCTGGAAGAAGTAATTATTTTTGATGGCTTCATTTTTTTGTAAATACCAATTTCCGGAAAATGATTCGGGAATCGTAGTCATCCCCCATTTTCTTTGTTATCGAAGTACCCGGAATATTTCGGAAAAATGGTCCGGGTTTTGAACGAATCTGTTGTATCTTCCTCTTGGCCTATCTTCCGAAAATTTGGCGATGTTGTGGCCGATTGTTGCGACCAATGGTATTTCTCCCAATGTTTTAGGCGAAATCAATTCGGCTCTGCTTGCATCCAGGATATTTTCTGGTCGATCGCGTTTTCGTTTGCGTTTGCAACAACTGTGTGTGTGGATCTTTTGAGACCAATAGCTCACGGATTCGTTCTCACCTTGCTCAGGCGACCGCCTTTCACTAACTCTTTGGCATGTATCGCGACCAGCCCGGCCCTCAGTACGTCTCGCGACCTGTGTTTGGAGAGCGGCAGCATGCATTTCGCATACGACGAAAATACATTTTTTGATATAGATATGATAAAGATACCTGAGTTGCAAAAAATGTCTTGCCGACACGGGCTCTATAAAATTTTCTCTATTCTTGGCACACCTACCACGGCCTGGACCTTGCCCCTTGGAGCTCGGTCTTTTTTTGGCGTCCGCCTTAACTTACCCTTAATTGCTGATTTGGATTGGTGGTTTGAGGATTAAACCCCTAGATCATATTAAAGTTGAATGGGAAACCTTCTCCTAACCTCCAAAACACCGATCCAAACTACCAATCCAAACCGGGCAAAGAGGCCGCCGAAAACCTGTAACCACCTCTTGGCCGCGGACCAGAATACAGCCGTCGTGGAGGGCAAGGAGAACGGCGGGACAGCGCCGAGACAAGCGCGTGACAAACCGTTGCCAGGGGACAAACGGCCCGTGCAATTGGGGCACGCGCAGCCGAGAGCTCGCACGCGCGTTCTTGCAGCCCGTCTGCATCACGGCTGTCGCGCTCGGAGTCGGACGCGTACACGTGCGCAGGCGAAGTCTGTGGCATGTCGACATCAGAATCCGGCGCGCTGCGCGCCGGAGGCGTGTCCTTTTTTGTCTCTGTGTCTCTGTCGGTGTCTTTCTCTGTCTCTCTTTGTTTGTTGGTCTCTCTGTCTCTGGTATTTGTTTGTTTGTTTGTTTGTGTTTGTTTTTGTCTCTCTGTCTGTCTGTCTGTCTGTGTTTGTCTGTTTGTGCTGTTTGTCTGTGTCTGTGTGTCTGTGTGTCTGTATGTCTGTGTGTTTGTGTGTTTGTGTTTCTTTGCGTTTGTCTTTGTGTTTGCTTTTGTTTCTTGTTATTGTCTTTGTTTGTGTTTTTGTTTCTGTTTGTTTGTTTAATTGTTTGTTTGTGTATTTTTTGTTTGTTTGTTTATTTGTTAGTTTATTTTTTTGTTTGAAATTGATAATATATAGGCTAAATTTTATGAATTTATGAAATTTAATTGATATTGTATAGGTTAATTATTGTGAGTTTATAAAGTTTAGGGCCCGTTCTTTATATTATTGAGAGAATTTGGAAATTAGAGGATATTGTGTTTTGGTGTGTATTATTTTTCGTTATTATAATTTAAATTATATTTTAAATTTGAATAATTTAATGATAGAGGTTAATAATAGGTGTTACCGGGACATAAAGCCCGATGTTTTTTTGGTTTTTGGATATGTTGTATGGGCTTGTTTTGGGTGAAAGATTTATGGAGGAATAAGAAATATCTTTTTAGAAGAACGGAACAATTTATTTTAAAATTGGAATCGAAGCTTTCTTTTTCAAATTTTGGATGGCCTATTATGGAATAACTATATTTATAAACGAAATTAGTTCGATTTTGTTTGTACCTGGGATGTTTTGTGGTCGATGGTATTTTCGTATATATTACAATAATTATGTATAGGTATAGATCTTTTGAGGCCATTGGTCTATTCTCTCCTTATTTAGGCAATCGCCTTTCATTGATTCGCTGGCATCGGATACTTGAGACACATTGTTGCTTTATGCGTCGCTGGTGCGGCTTTGGGAAATATATTAAAGTGCTGCTGAGAAGTTCCATCTACAATTCGTCTTTTAGATATTTGGATTTCCAGAATTGGGTTTCCGGTGCAATCTAACGCAAAAGCTCAAAATCACAATCATGATGTTTCTCGAAATATTTTAAAACCGTTTTTGTTAAGCACTTGCTCGATCTCGATCAACATAATCATATATATCTATTTTATTTCATGATCTGTTTCTTACCATGGGTCATTTCGCACACTACTAAAAAACAATAAACCCCCACTAGTATTTTATGTTTATTAGGTATTATAAATTTGTTATAAACAATATATGTTTATTCATAACTTATAATATTTTATTTATTGTATTTAATTATTTTTTTAATTTAATATTAAAAATATAAATTCAATAAAATAAACATAATATTTTTTAAATCTAAAATAATATTTATTAATCATAAATTTATAATAAAATTTCAATTTGTAAAATAAAATAATTTTACATTTATAATTATTTCAAGATTTCAATATAATACTTATCATACATTTAATAAAATTATATCCTATAAAAATAACTATATCCAAAAGAATCAAAAATCCAATCCAAATACATATATCTATAGATATATAATAACCTATATCCGCCGACCCCTTCTCCTCAAAGGGGAGGCGCACGGGAAGGGTGGTTGCAGTACAAGCGCATGGATTAATCTTTGAGGCAAGCATATGACTACTGGCATCATACTACGATAATAGTTATCATCACAGTCCTCATCCTTATCATCACTATCATCATGGTCATCATCATCTCTTGTTAGCCGGCACTGATGATGCCGAGGATGCTACGATGATAGTTATCATCACAGTCCTCATCCTTGTCATCAGTATCATCACGGTCATCACCATCTCTTATTAGGCAGCACTGGTGATGCAAAGGGTGTTACGATGATAGTTATCATCATAATCATCATCATGATCATCCTTATTATGATGTCATCGCTCTTCTCATCATCATCATGATGATCATTATCATCTCATTCTTGTTCTTATTCTTGTATGCATTTCAAAAGTAACGTTAGACCCCATTGGCAATGCAGAGGATGCTACGACGATACTTATCATCACAGTCCTCATCCTCATCATCACTAGCCAGCACTGGTGATGCCGAGGATGTCACCATCATCTCTTATTAGGCAGCACTGGTGATGCAAAGGGTGTTATGATGCTAGTTATCATATAATCATCATCATGATCATGCTTATTATGATGTCATCGCTCTTCTCATCATCATCATGATGATCATCATCATCTTATTCTTATTCTTATTCTTATATACATAATACTTATCATCACAGTCCTCATCCTCATCATCACTATCATCATGGTTATCATCATCTCTTCAAAGGGTGTTATGATAATAATTATCATCATAAAATCATGATCATCCTTATTATGATGTCATCGCTCTTCTCATCATCATCATGATGACCATCATCATCTCATTCTTATTCTTATTCTTATATGCATGTCAAAAGTAACGTTAGACCCCATTGGCAATGCAGAGGATGCTACGACGATACTTATTATCACAGTCCTCATCCTCATCATCACTATCATCATGGTTATCATCATCTCTTATTAGGCAGAACTGGTGATGCAAAGGGTGTTACTTATTATGATGTTGTCGCTCTTCTTATCATCATCATGATGATCTTATTCTTATTCTTATATGCATTTCAAAAGTAACGTTAGGCCCCATTGGCAATGCAGAGGATACTACGATGATAGTTATCATCACAGTCCTCATCCTTATCATCACTATCATCATGGTCATCATCATCTCTTGTTAGCCGGCACTGATGATGCCGAGGATGCTACGATGATAGTTATCATCACAGTCCTCATCCTTGTCATCAGTATCATCACGGTCATCACCATCTCTTATTAGGCAGCACTGGTGATGCATGATCATCCTTATTATGATGTCATCGCTCTTCTCATCATCATCATGATGATCATCATCATCTCATTCTTATTCTTATTCTTATATGCATTTCAAAAGTAACGTTAGACCCCATTAGCAATGCAGAGGATGCTACGACGATACTTATCATAACAGTCCTCATCCTCATTATCACTATCATCATGGTTATCATCATCTCTTATCAGCCGGCACTGGTGATGCCGAGGATGTCATCATCATCTCTTATTAGGCAGCACTAGTGATGCAAAGGGTGTTATGATGATAGTTATCATCATAATCATCATCATGATCATCCTTATTATGATGTCATCGCTCGTCTCATCATCATCATGATGATCATCATCATCTCATTCTTATTCTTATATACATTTCAAAAGTAACATTAGACCCCATTGGCAATACAGAGGATGCTAGGATAATAATTATCGTCACAGTCATCATCACTATCATCATGGTCATCATCATCTCTTGTTAGCCGGCACTGATGATGCCGAGGATGCTACGATAATATATATCATCACAGCCCTCATCTTTGTATATAGAAGAAAGATAGAAGAAAGAGATGATGATAATGATGACAATCATGATGACAACGATGAAGGCGATGACTATGCTGACAATCATCATGAAGATAATAAGGATGATGACTCTTATAATAATTATCATCGTAACATCCTCTGCATTACCAAAGCTACTATTATTTTATTATTATTTGTTTATTCAGGCTGGTTAAAAGTGTGTATTTGTCATCAGAATTTTATATAATTTCATTGAGGGATTTGCTCAAGCTGGAGCCAAGAGATGTCATGATAACTATCATCGTAACATCCTCTGCATTGCTAAGGGTGTCTAACGCTATAGAAAAAACATAGAAAAAACAAATGATGATAATAATGATAATCATCATGAAGATGATAAGGTAATAATTATCATCGTAGCATCCTCTGCATTACCAAAGCTGCGGATAACTGTCATAATAATTATTATCATAACATCCTCTATATTACCAAAGATACCTAATGCCATATTTAATATAAATATAAAAACACCAAAACTACGGATAACTATCATAATAACTATCATCGTAACATCCTCTATATTACCAAAAATACATTTCAAATATATAGAGAAAAAAAATAAAAGAAAATCATAATAACGATAATAAAAACAATAACTAGGATAACAATCATCATGAAAGTAACAAAAATAATATTTTTTTTAATAACTATCATCGTAACATCCTCTACATTACCAAAGCTACGAATAACTATCATAATAACTATTATCATAATATCCTCTATATTACCAAAAATGCCTAATACCGCATTTAAAATAATAAAAAAATATCATAATAACGATAATAAAGGCGATAATTATAATAACAATCATCATAAAAATAATAAAAATAATAATTCTTATAATAATTATCATTATAACATTTTTTGCATTACCAAAGCTACAAATAACTATCATTATCACTATCATCATAATATCCTCTATATTACCAAGAATGCCTAACGATATTATCGAACCAACACCTTAATAATAATCATCATTATACATCATTCATAGTATCTCTAACAATCATAATCATTATACATCCCCACCATCTCCAACAACAATAATCATAATCATAACTATATATCACTATCGAAACGACACCTCGCCTCAAATGCCATTTAAGTCAAAAAGAAACCAAAAATACCAAAACCAAAAGCACTATTTTTGGTTACTCGAAAACCACAACTAAATCCAAGGATCGGCAATATAAAATCCAAATAAAAATTATGTTTTTCTAAATAAAACAACTATTAATTAAATATAATCTTTCTAAAATTTAAAATTAATTTTCAATATCAAAATAACAAAAAAAACAAATATTCATAATATTTAATTGTAAATTCTTACAAACATATATAAATTATAAATTTGAAATAAACAAACCAATTTAGTATTATTACACCCTTTAGCGAAAGACAAGCAAAATAATCCTACCCAAAACGGATAAATAAATCCAACTTATATATTTTTCTGGTGGCTTGCAGTGTAGAAAACAACGCTATGCCTTCATATCTTGCGCTAATTAGCGTTTCAGGATGAATGTGACGCGCTCACAACAAACGAACGTCGGGCCTCGCTCTAATACATCGAGGACACACACCACACATTCGTTTACATGAGAAAACAGAGTATGGGCGATGAGTACAACACATAGAAGACGGGCCAAGCGGAATGAGATGTACAGAAACGGCAGGCGCGACTCCGTGCTACAAGCACAAGCAGTTGACGTTTGGTTCTGCTAAACTGGTCCCTAAAAATATTCATAGGCGTTGGCATCATCTCAGCAGAGCCAACTAGCACACCCCCTTTTCAAATCAAATAAGACGGCTTTTCATGCTCAATTGGCCCGGCGCACGCAAGTATAATGAGGCATTTTCGACATCGCTCTCTACTAGGGAGCCGAGCACCCACACAGCAAACTGTACAAGCCTATGTGTGCCAAAATTTGGCATGCCCATGGGCATGGGTAAATTGGAAAATGCGTGTGTGGTCTATTGGGCACGTTGACCCAAACCAAATGTGACTTTATGACTTTAAGCAGCCAGCCAGGCAGAACTCACCTGACTTATGTCAGAAGCGCCAGATGGCGACGGAGGTCTGCTCGGGAAGCAGGAGAGGATCTCTTTCTTGTCAGCGAGCTTGCCCCTTCGCGCATGAAAGGACTTGACCAGCTTCACCACCAGAACGCCCCGCTGCACATCGAACCCGTAAGGCTCCCCACTGGGGCTGAACAAGTCGAAGCGCCCGTCTGCATGGTCAAAATTAAAACTCCGCTCCCATCTCCCGTGATGCTGCAGAATGGGAAAGGACTGCAAGGGCTGCACGGCAGCCTCATCAATGGACTTCTGCTTGTGGATGACGATGCGTACCCCGTTGGACAACTCCTCAACATGCTCGCGAACAGGAGCTATTTTTGAACATTCTACCCTTGCTCCCTGCCCGATAAACTTAATCTTGGTTTTATGTTTCTTGAACGCTCGAGATTCGAGACTAAGCTACACCACACTTGCGCAACTCTTCTCCTCCCACTCAATGTCAGCCTCGTCCACATCAGGGCACTCCACACGGATGTAGCGCTCTACCCCGAGCTCTGTTGTCTTGTCGAAGACGTTGACGATGGGGTCGAAGCTGACATCGTGGGCAATGATTTCCCCCAGCGGCGAGATCACACCCTTGGTCTTCAGCATAACTTTGGCATCCTGCCCCGGAAGCTGCAGCACCATCTCCCCAACAGCAGAATAGGCACCTAGCACAGGATGCACGGGATGCGTTGGATGCATTAATGCCTGGGGCCCTGCAAGTTGCTTCTATCATATTATGACTTTATCAAACGCCTCATCACCACCACCACCACCACCACCACCACCACCACCACCACCACCACCACCACCACTCAACACCTCCCCCCCAACGGCGCCGCCTGGCCATGCCCGCCACGCGTCCGAGCTGTTCGTCGGCCCTGCGAGCTCCCCGTTCAGGTCCGTGAAGGCCACCGTCAGGGAGCTCGGTTGGCTCTCCGGCGCCAGCTCCAGCAGCGCGAACTTGGGCACCAGGCGCGCCAGCTCCGAGCGCAGCAGCTCCGTGAGGTTTATCTTGGAGCCCAAGGTGTGGCGATGCTCCAGCTGCTGCATCAAATACTTGCAATTCCTTGGTCTCTCAACCCCTCCCCCCAAAAAAAAATTGAAGACAAAAAACACGGCCACACGGCCAAGCGTCAGAACGACCAGATTGATGGTCCCAGCCCAGACAAATGAACCGCGTGATATCCAAATTCACATGCAGCCAAGAGTCTCTTCATTGTATGCGTGGCCTGCTTCTGACCCATCCTTGCACAACGCAATGTGGTGGACAGGTGGGATGCCTTCCCCCGCGTCCGCCGTGAAAATGAGGTCGTTAATGTGAGAGACCCCACCCTCATAGCAGGACTTGATCTGACGGTAAAAGAGCTCCTGAGCTTCCTCCACCTCGGAGGTCATGCGCAGATTGTGCACCACAATCAGCTCCTTGTTATGGTGGCCCTGCACGTACTTTTGGTGCAGCATCTCCACATATTCCTGCTCAAACCAGGTGAAGTCGTTCACCACAAAGATCATATGATGGGAGATGCGGGAGATCATGTCAAACACCAAAGACTCCGTTGCGCGAGCATCCAGGATTGGTTGAACAGTCTGTGAGCGGTCCGCACGGTATGAGACCGTCGCTTGAACACCGGCGCTGTCCAAGACCAGCATGCGACGATCTTCCACCCACAGGAAGCTGAGACCTCTCGTCGTGCACAGCTTTCCGTTCGGCAACTTGGTTCCCAGCATCCTGTTTGTCAGCCATGTCTTTCCCTTGTCGAAGAGTCCTTGGCTCCGAGCAACTGCTCTTGTGCCTCCCTATGCCCCCTGAACCCTGGGAGCAGAACCGAACAGCAATGTTGACTTGTTGCGGATTGCGGAAAAGCTGAGCAACAAACCACCGATGAGCCGGGAATCCCACGATGGAGACGATTTTGTACCGCTCTTCCGCTGAGGCCTTGAAGGTGGATTCGGCCTTTTGCAGAAACTTGATGTGGCCAGTGTGCAAAAAGTCGCCCAAGGACTCCAATGCAAGCACCGCGTCATAGGGCGTGGTTTCTCCATCTTCGCCCTGCGGCTCTTCTCTTGCAGCATTTGCTTCTGGGGTTGCTTTTGTGTCCTGAATCAGCATGGCACAACTCTACAACAAAGACGTGTTGCACTGCAAGCACTGCCATTCCCTCTTTTTTGCTACTGCAATGGACATGCTCAATTCAGCTGCAACACCTGCAAAGACAACAGTGCAATTATTCGACATGACCCTATTGTCATCTTGCAAAAAGCATTGTTGGGTTCATAAGTCTGCCGGCACCTCCCAAAATCCACTACTGTACCCAGGAGTCCTTGGACGGGAGACGCCGGTATAGGCATCGTGCAAAGCAAACGGCGACAAGCACTTGCACCGCAACGACCTGATGACGATGCCGTATCTTCAAGCTAACAAAAGCCACCACCGCTCTTGACCATTTGTGTTTGCCTTGTACGTTTGTGTGCAACACAAAATTCACCAGCCATGCTTTCACGTTGCTGCCTCTCTTGAAGGACCAGGATGGAGTAATTACCCGGTCAAATTACGGCGACATCGCCTACCAGGACGTGTGAATCCCATATATCTTATCTTCCAGGAAATCCCGGAATCAAGCATCATTCATTTCTTCTAACACAAACAAGCAAACAAGACATCCAAAATAACAAGAACATGAGAGTCGTAAGCAAGGAAGATCCGGCATTACAAAGAAGAATGAAATAGACACTTGAGGTGGATTGGCACATTCGTCGTTTGTAAGTGATTGGAAACTGCCGATTTGCACCTTTGCGCGCGGGTTCGTGACAAAATAGCAAATCACTGCTCATTGGAGAATCCATCCTGGCCGCCAAAAGCGTCGCCAATGAGTTTGTGAAGGATCCCCCTGAATAAGGTTTCAATCAGAATAGCTAAGGGGCAACTAAACCTCAATATGAGGCTTGAGCGTCAACTTTGTGCTTTGGGATCTGAAGGCTGCGTCCAGCAGCCCTTTCTGAGATCTCCCTTCCAATGGCGATTTCTTCCATCTTCAATGCGGTTGGTAGCCAGTTCTGGATTTGGGGCTGCTCCTTGGGCTTGCAACTGGGCCGCGCCCAGTTGCCGGCTTCCCTACAAGGAGCCCGAACCCGACTTCTGGTGCGGCTAGCTAGTCAGCCATCTTCTCATCTTGAACAACCTCCAAGCCGAGAAAAACAACAAAACATTGCTCTTCCCCAACTAAGTGCTAAAAGGATTCTGGACATGTTGAAGGAATATTCCATGCGTAGATAGGCCTAGTCGTTTTGTTACCTTCAAGGAAAGCCATCCCAACCCAGCAATTGGTCTCTCTGACATCCCCTGCCGTCGGGAAAAAAAAAGGTCTCAGCCAAGGCGCCGTGCATCCGTCACAGGTAACATCATCCACGCTCGGCCACTCCTCGTGGGTGGGGAAATCGGCTTGGATGGCTGGGGAATAGCTAAAGGTTGGCAATTCTATTTACAAGGATTAACTGGGGGCTAGCAACTCCTGGACCGTTTCAGTATGAGCTTCAATAACATGAACCCTTCGCAAGCCCAGCGGTCATCAGCTTGGTCAGGTAGTTGGTTTGATCAGGGCGAGGGGCTGGGATATGAAAGAAACCTGTTGCTCGGTCCGGCCCTGTCAACTGGAGACATGCTCAGTTAGCCCGCCCACATATTCGCACATTATGCTAACACAGACTCGCATACTCGCACGCACAACTCGCGCTGCCACACGGGCCACACGAACACCTGCACAAGGGTAGCCCGCGTCAGGGTTGTGGCATGTTTCATTTCACAATGCCTTGGAAGCGGTTATTGCAGTAGGAAACCAGGAGAAACCATCATGCAACACCCAGAGGTAAACCCTGGCGAGCTACAAGTACTGAGTATTTGGGGCTGCTTGCAACACGCACAGCATGTTTGGGTTGGCGGGGGGGTTTGCCTGGACCGAATGCTGGCCACTTTTTGGACGTGGGTGGGGAATTGTAAAAGCCCATGTGGAAATCGTGGCTTTGGTGGGATCACAGGAAAGCCTGCAAATGTCCAACTCGCGTATTCGAATCTCAGATCCGAATACGCGGTGCTGACAGGTGCAGCATTTCATTTGCTCGAAGCAGGCTCCCGAAGTGTGGCTTGACTCTCTTAGTGAGAGACCTTCAGAATGCCATCAACACTTTCATGCAGCTGTCCAGGCCGGGCGGCCTTGTATATGCGAAGCAAACAAGTCATGAGCTGCGCTGATAACTTGCTGGCAGAACTTCCGTTCCTGCTCGGTACCGAGGAGACAAAGACCAGCATGTGCGGGAAGGTAGCCCCTTCAAACTCAAGAAGGCCCTAACCCCTCTTAGACACCAGTTGCCTAAAACCACCTGTGGCAAAATGGCAGCGTGTCAGATTCTGACAGCGCGCAGGGAGCGGAGAAGTCACATGGCGTGTAGGGCTCGCTCGCAAGCCCTCTGAGGATCGGCGCGCGCGGGGCAGCATGAATGTCCGGGCAAAACCCCTCCCCCCGTCAGCCCCACCCCGGAGCTTTGGCCAAACCAGCCTTGCAAATGGTGCTGCAGGTCTCCGTCTCATTCGTCGACTTGATGGAAGGCCCGGGCCGGACCCACAAGCTGTAGGGGCTGCCTGCGGTGAATCTCAGCCCCCGGCCCCCAAGCCTCGCCACGCGATTGATTTCCCGCACAACCCTCCTGCCCAAGGTGAGCATTCCAAGGGCTTGGGTTGCAGCAGAACCTCTTGGAAGCTTTGCTTGTTCAGAACTGTTTCAGAGGTTTGGCAAAGGCCTGACTTCCTAGACATGCTCCTGTACTCCAACCTCTTCAAGATCCCCATCATGCTCTCCTTCCCTGAGACCCTATAACCTCTCGTTTCCTCCAAATACCGAATCACAAGGCCTTAGGCTTTTGTTTGGTGGAAGCAATTGGAAGCAAGTGTTGGAAACAGATGCGCCGTACGACTCACCTTTGGCTTGCGTTTGCAAGTATTGCGTTCTTACAGTCAAAGGCATGAACATCCTCAAGACTAAACGCCTTAAACTGCCCTTCTTCGGATATGGTTGGACTTTTTCTGACTGACCGATGCCCCTGAAATCCTCATTGCAAAGCTCTCTCGCTGGAAACGGGGGACGCCTGTTTCAGGCTGTTCTACCTGAGGCCATCGAGAAACCAGTCAAATTCTGTGTAAAAACCGGTCCAGTCCAATTTGCGTAGTTCATAAAAAACCGGTCAAATCCCTTCAGAAACCAATCATCCCTGGCCAACTTCCCCTCCAGAAACCTGTCAAATCCCCTCCCCTGAAAATCGGCAAAAAATTCCCTAGAAACGACTGAAACAAGTCAAATTGATTAGAAATTTGCGCCCGCTGCCATTCTGTAGCTCTCTGCCGCTGTCGCTCTCGTTCTGGCCCTGGACGCCATGTGGATATGAGCGGACACGCACGCACCCTCTACCTTGGAAACCAGCTCACGCATTTCGGCGCCGACTCACTCACTCTAACAAACACAACACTTCAAGGCAGTATATACCTCAACGCCAGCCAAAAGCGGACTGGCCGAGGCGGCAACGCGAAGCGTTTACAATTACGGATTGAAGGCATCGCTTGCAGCAACCTTCCATAGTTTAGCTGCCCGATGCAAGGTGAGCTGCCCTCCAACCAGCACCCAATCCTCGAATTAGTGGAGAATGATTGCAAGCAGAATGAGCAGCCAAGGGCTAGTTCCAATATTTCTTGTAGAGCCAACCTAGTTGCAGGGGGGGAAGGGCTTGCTTTTTTCTGCGTTTTATCGAACTTCAGTGCATGGTGACCAACTAGAACCAAAAAGTGAGATCGTGCCCGCGGCTGAACAACTCATAAACTCAGAAGTCCTCATTCTCGGCAAACCCATCGATTGCCAAAGAGCGAGCCAGCTGATTAACATGAAACCCAACATGGATCCCAAAAGCCAATCATGTTTAGAGGCAGCTGGATTTGCGTCTGAATTCGACTCCCCTGTTGGTGTTCCTTGAGTTTGCAGGGGCGTAGCGTACCCAGTTCAGTGTCACCCTTTTTGTTCGTTCCCCTGATGGAATCGACCCGAGGGTGTCGCTTTTCTGGTGCGAAGCGCGGGGCAGCCTGCAGTGCACCGGGACATGTCCACATCCTTCCGCAGCCAGCAAGTTGTCGGGGAGTCTCCATGCATCACCTCAGTGGAGTCCTTTGGGCCTCTGCCTTTGACCCAGTGAAGCATGTAGCCCGGTCTCCCCCTCCCGCCTTTCTGTTTTGGAAAAGGACCACCCGTTTTCGTCAATTCGCAAATTCATAAAAAGTTAAAGTCTAAAGATCCAACCCAATAGCAGTCAAGAAAGCAAGGAAACTAGAAACCGCGAGAGGAAGCTAACAAGACATCAAGCACGGAAGAAAAGCAACCAAGCCTGAAACGAAAACAAAACAGAAGGAACACATAATCAACCAAGCAAAAAAAACACACACACAACAAAACACACACACACACACAAACCAAACCAAACCAAATCAACAAGCAAACGGGGAGACAGGCAGAAAGAAAGACAACAGAATCACCAATCGCCCACCACCCACTCACCACTCACCACTCACCACCACTACCAACAGCAACAACAACAACAACGAAAGCAACCCAGGCGAACAAACCAAACCAAAGCAACAAAAACGAGAAGCAAACAAACAAGCTGGCACACAAACATACAAGCCAACCAACACACCAACCAAAACAAAACACCTACCAGACAAGCACAACCAAACACTCCGAACACACCGCACAGAACAAACTACATACAACAAAAAGAACAATACAAAACAACAAACAACCCATAAACAAAACCAAAGAGCCCAACCAACATGAACCCAATTTGCAGACAAGGCAAACGTGAAAGCCAAACCAAAGAAAGCAGCACAAACAGAACAAAGCACACCAAACAAGCAACGCAAACAAAACAAACAACCTCAAACAAACCAGGCGAAGCGACAACACCAGCAAACCATACAAGCCAAGCCAGCCCAACCCTTTGCTCGATCACACTGTTTTCCGCAGGCGGCAATGGCGGCGCAGTCCTTAGTTGCACGCTAGGGGACCCTGTCCTTGCTTATCCAATTTCCCCAAATCCATCTTTTGTAGGGGAACCTTCTCATGGGACATGGACCCCATTCTTGCATTAGGATGATTCGGCATCCTTATCCGGCAGGAGCTAGGGAGCCTCTAGTTGGCTCTCGAGCCAGGTCGGCATGATTTTGTCTGGTGGTCATGAGGGACGCACACTTCACATGAGGGGTTTGAAACCGATTGGAAAAAAGCCAGGGGATCAAGCATGCAATTGAGCTGGGACTCCTTCTCCTGCAGGCACTCTTGCTGGCACTGCTCCAGGGTCTGCGCGTCCCCCAGGGGATCTTTGTCTTTGATGCCCTCGGCGCCGTGGTGCAAGTAGCAATTCAATCCTGGGCGTGAGGTGCAAAACAGCCATTACTCACAGTACTCAGTAGTTCCACCAGGTAAGCGCCAACCAAAACCAGAACTCTCCGCTCACCAAGATGTTTCCGCTTTCCAGAATGATCTCCCCAAAAAGAAAAAAAGGCTCGAAGATGGGGCAGTTGGTCCATGTTAGCCTGGAGAAGGGAAACGCAAAAACGGGTTTCTTTGTCAAGGCTCCTTCATGCTTCTCCCAGGCCGGGCCCGGGCTTCCCGACTGCAATCCGGACTCGTCCTCGGACGCCTGGTTTGGCATTCACCTTTACTCCACTTGGTGCACTTGGTCAGCGCCTAGTAAGGTGCGCCGAGGGCAGGTGAACAACTGCGCACATTGTGGAAAATGTTGCTGATACCAAAGTGGGAAATCCCAATCTAGCCCTTTCATGGGGTTCTCTGCTGCATTTTGCATGCAAACACGGGTGCTTGTTTGTGATTGTTGGTAGGGAAGCTACTGGAAATGTGCGGTTGTCCGTGATTTTGTGGGATCTGTGAGATGAACTAGATGTTTTGACCGAACCTCCCAGGGCGTGGCGTCTTCGGCTCCGACCGTCTCTTCGGCTTGGGCTTCTTCCGCAGCATTTGCCTCTGAAATTGCCTGACCCAGCGTGGCACGCACGAAGTGCAGGTGCTGCACTTCAAGCACATGCTGCGCATCTCTTTGCCACTTGGATGATTGGAAGATCTTCATGGATGAGGTCGCAAACCAACCACCTTGCGACTACAAGCTGTGACATGGTTGGTTTTCTACGTGCGTCCTGCTGCAACCACAAGGGTGACCTCCCTCCATCCCCAGAGCTTCCGCCTCGGCGACCCGAAACAGTTCGCCCTCCTCGCGCCAGCCGCGAGGCGTGGACCGAGTCTCCGAGTGCCCCGAAGCGAGGGCTCGCTCAAAGGAAGCTGGGAAGGGGAAAAAGCCACTGGTGTAGCCCCACAACGGGGGGGAACATGCGTTCTTTCGGCCGAAGCCAATTCAAACGAACCAATGTTGATACTTGCGTCAATGTAGTTCGATAGCATTCCGTTCCTTTGTCTTGTGTCGCTCCAACATCCTGGGCAAAAAGTGTGGGGATGACAAGTCGTGCGGCATTTGTTGGCACAGCCAAAGCCAACCCAGGAGTCCTCGGACAGGAGTTTCGAGTATAGGCCGTACAGGCATCCGGCAAGCCAGGTGGCGACCTGACAATGACGTGTCTTCGCATTTCGACGTGCACAACTGCTCTTGTGGTTCCTTTTCAGGGGATCAAAAATATGGCCGGGCACGTAGGGCCATGTGGTACCCAAAGCAAGCATGAGAAAATGAACCAGCGGATCATGACCGTTCCCTTTAAAACCAGTAAGGGCAAAACACATTACACATGCTTAATACCAGCTGGTCGTGGCAAACTTTACAGCTAAAACCAACAGGACAACCCTTAAAGCAAATGCACCGCAAGCGAATCCGGCCGTCACCCCAAAAGTATAGGGCCATAGATCCTGGAAAAAACATGTGGTTGACATGACTTTTTGCTCCAAGACATTCTGCAAACCAGCCTAATGAAGAAACCCTGGCGGGCAAACATTTGGCCTTTTTGCTGCGGCTCGGAGCAACATGGCACTTGACTGGAGGCAAATGAAAATGCGCATAGATTCTAATTGGCGGCTCTCTGGCGGACATGATCTACATGTTTATTTCTGTCGGAGGCATGGGGGTTCCCTGTTTTAGTTCATTGCCAAATGAAAAGGGAATGCACTCGTCCTCAGCTCAGCGACGACGGTGCGTGCCAAACAAGACCACCCTGCACGTGGTCTTGCAGCTGCCGCCTGGCAATGCACATGAGCCATCTGGAGCCCGGTGCAACGGATGGGCTTGCATGTGGCTGTGGCTCAAAACCCGGTACCAAAATGGAACGCTGGTAAGCGGAAAGATGGACCGAAAGCTGCGTAACCCCTCCTGTTTGATTTGAGCCACACCCATGTGTTGCCTTGATGTGACCATCATTTTTCCGTTCGGAGTGATGACTGTTTGCAGTATCTCTCTCTCTCTCTCCAGTTCTATCCCGCAGGTCCTCGCTCAGTTGCTTAGTTCTTTATGTTTCACCCTCTCAGACTCTCTTACTCTCACACCATAAACACGCTTTCGCGCACAAGAGCACTTTCCAAGAGGAACAGTGTTCTGAAAAATCCCAAGCATCCCGGCGCTCAGCGGCGAACGGCTTTGCCACTCACAAAAAAGTGGAATTGCCGAATCCCGCCCCTATTTTCCAGTTGAGCATGCAAAAAGCCTCAAGCGCAGCCCTCTGACGCACAAACAGCAACAGGCCAAAGTGGGATTTTGCTTGCGATTAAGGGCATTTTCAACCAGGTTGTTGGAGGTGTGGAGGTTGTGTAACTTTTCATTACACGGATTACGCTTTTGCATCAGTCTTTTGGCATTAGACGCAAAAGCTGCGTCAAGCTATAGATAATGTCCTGAAGCCACCACTTGCAATGCGGTGACAAAACATGTTTTCATTTTTTCCTTCTGCATGTGTTGAACAAATCCTTTTGTCTTCTGCGCGCCAAACCTCGGGGTTGCTAACACGGCGAATTTGGAGGTGCCGGCACTGCCGCAGGTCCGCATTCAACAAATCTGGATTTGCTTCTGTAGACGTTCATCATTCCCCAAGCTCAGCTTAGAACACCTACGCAGTCAAGAAACAAACTACTGCTGAAGCTCAGTGCTAGATGGTTTGTGTTGCCTCTTTTTCTTTTTGGTACATTACAAATAAGCACTGCAAGGATGCTTAGACTTTCTCCCGCATCGTCCCGCCTTCGGCATGGTGGACAAACGCCTACTCGCTACCATCCGAATCTTGAGCCCGGACGCGGCTCCAGCAAGCCTCCCGCTCCAAGCAACACACCTCAAAACGACCACCCCGAAAACACAAATCAGCACGATGCACACATACAAGATTCCAAAATGCCGTGCCTACGGCCACAATCGCATTTTGCTAACAATACCCACCCTCCATCTAGAAAAGCTACATTTGTCCCCGCAAACCAACTTCCATCATAATAACGATACCATACACTTCCATCATGCATTCTGACGACTGTTATGATTGCAACGTTCAAACATGCTACAGACACACACACACACACACACGCATGTATATGTACATATGTGTCTACACATTGATCTGTAAATCATACTGCTAGCCACAAGTGTGCGAGCTTGAGCCACCCCTTTCAGCTCCGCCAGCCCCTCCGCCCTTTCTTCTATGAACAAGGCCTAAAAAGGTTGGGCTTTGCCTGTGGTTGTACCACAAGGAGGGGAGTAAGATTATGGACGCAAAGGGGACCAAATTAGAATGCATGTGTTTTCCGTTGCGTAACTTTCTATTGCGTCTTCCTGGTTCATAAACTTTATGTGAAAACGATTTGTCTAAAGCAGGCGGATGAAAAGGGTACTCTTGGCACTTCTGGCAAACGGTGCCCGGCTTCGGTCCGTTATCTACAATAATTATATATATATATACATATAGAATGAACACTGAATGATTGATTAAGCATACGTACAGGATAGATGCTTGAATCAGTGTTGGTTATGATGTGGATCCGTCCACGGCATGCCACAATCTTGCGACCCTGGCCGATCACAAACTTGTTCCTGTCGACGACTTGTTTGGCCAACAGCAGAGGCCAGCTTTCAAAATAAGCGCTATTGTTCAATCCAATCAATACATTTGTCACTAAAAAAAAAGGGCGGACTGAAAACTAGCTCCGTTGGTCAGAAGTGCCAACACGGTACTTTCTTCACCAGCCTGCCTTAAACAGGTCATCTCACTAGATATCTCCACGTCATTTATAAAGCAACAACTTCGAGAGTTGTGTTGGTGAAGTTGAAGCGCACGGTTCCTTTCCAAAGCATCTCAAAAGACAGGCTACAACGATGCGGGATTGATTGCGCAGGATGGAATTGCAATAGCTCGTGGGCACTTGCCCTGAATGCCCTGATATATGCTTCAAGGATTCACACCAATATGGCCCTGAAGTTGCCTAGGCCCAGACCTTTTGGCCCGCTTCGGTTCGCCAAAGTCAGCACCGTCAGCAGCGCCGCCGAGGACGCCAAGCCTTCCATTTGCGTTTTCGCCCCCTGGAAAACATAAACATGTTTTCTTGTTTTCAGTAGTGATCGACTCCTTTAAAAAAAAAGAGAGGAAAATAACAACTATTCTTAACACAAATGGAAGTAGCTGTAGGCTGGCAGGGTGGTGATCAGCGCTGCCGACGTCAGGATGGACACCAGGTGCACCGTGGCCCCGCCCGGCGTCACGAAGCGGCCAGGTGGTGATGGAGGCGCCTGGCGTAGAAATGCAACACATGGGAGTTGACCCAAGACTTCTGAGAGGTGGACACCGACTGGGTGAAATCCGAAAGTTGCTTGGAGAGGAAGAATCAAAGGCGGATGAAATGCCGGCGCCCTCGCCTCAAGCCACTCGCTAAGGGCTACTCATCACTGAGTGTTGGACAAAATATTACATAGAAAGGTTCTGGCGGGGTTTAGAACTGCTTTGACTACTTTTGGGATTCCATGTTCCATGCCGCGCGACACGTCAGGGAAGGGCCTGCACAGTTCTCTCTTGGATCTTCATGGCACACAAGGCTGCCACCAGCGCCAGGGGCCACGCCAAGCCCTCCGCGCGGTCTGTGCTCTCGGCCAGCAAGGTGCGGGCCAGGGCCACTTCGGAGGTCCAGCGTGGCGACAGCAGCAGCAGCGCCCCGCAGCTGCACGCCACGAAAGCTGCCAGCAGTGGCCGTAGCTCCGCTTGCAGCGCTCCTTGCAGCTTGAGGAACTGACCTTCAGCTGGCCTTCTTTCAGCCAAAAAGTATGTGAGCACTTTGTTTGGTTGTATTTGTTCTTTTACATATGGACTGAACAGTGACACAGTTCCAGTCCTGTGAATGCCGCAACTCCTGGCGAACGCGTGATTGATTCATCCACTGGATCGAAAGCTCCCCCGACGGTCCTTCCTGCCGAGCCGTGACCGCCGAGACAGATGCTAAGATGAAGCACGTCAGCACCGCCGCGCTGCAGATGTCGTTCAAATCCTGAGGTGCAGAATGCCGTGGCCCAAGGCCAAAAACTGGAATTCTTGCATTCGTGGTGCTGGACAAGCAAACCAAGGGAAGCGTGAGGTCAACAGGAAAAGAAACCTCCTCCGATCTTTTTGAAGAAGCATGGTAAATGAGTCTTCCTGGAACAAGCTCAGCTGACATGCCGTGCCCAAAAAGCAAGAACTCCAACCCCCGGTCGCTGGTTGGTTTCATCCCATGGCTTCCTCGAAGGGCACCAGCCCCGCGCACACCGCGGTGACAGCGCCGCCCAGCACGGTGGCAGCCAGGGGTTCTCCGGCCCGATCCTTCTGGGCCAGCGCCAAGGGTAGGAACCCATCCTGGCCACGAAGGCACGGAGCACTGCGTGGCAACTGGACTGGATCACTGAGCCATGGGATTTAAGCGAAGCGCATGTGTCCTCATGTTGTACAGGAACATCTTGAGAAATGCGATTGACCCTGGTACTATCATGAAAGCGGCAAGACATTGGAAACACTTAGAACTTAGAATCATCAATCAACTCAAACCCACACTTTCTTGACATGTTCTTCCAGAATCTTCTTGGAAGACTTGCTCTGCCTAACTTCGTGCCGCCCCAACCTTTTGGATCCCACCCGTCCTCCGCGACGCAACACAGCAAACGCCCCAAGGGCAGCAAGCAGCCAAAGGCCACCACCGGAAGTACCAGCAACTCTCCCACCTGCGCTGGCCAGTGAGGCCCTCATGAAATACAGCGTTCTGTCTGAGAGAACAGGTGCAAACACCTAACAATGACCAATAAATGTATCACTTTCATACATCCAAATTATATGCTTTCCACTTGTACACAAATGGGTAAGTGCCAACAATCAAGTCAAGCAATCATCACGCTTCTTTGTTCAGGCGAAAAGCCAAGCTCTCTCTCTCTCTCTTGTCAAGGCTCCTTTGATGTTTCACAGGGTCAAAGCTAAGGAAAAAACAAATCTGTCGCCCGTTCGCTGCAGAGGCGTTGCCACCAGTCGCGCTGCCAAATGCAACTGCAGAAGCTCGAAGGCCGACACGAAGCCGGCGGCGGGGTCCAGCTGATCTGCTGGGACGCAGGAGACCAAGGCGAAACCTGCCGGGACCAATGCAGGTGATCTTTCTGATTGTTGTTTTTGTAAATGCATAACGGCCGATTCGTGACTGATCCCGATCATGGATGGTTGTGACATTGGCTATAGCCTTTCCTTGTTGACTGATTGATGCTTGCTATGCACTGTGACTGATCCATCATGACGGTTAACCATGGCCGATACACAACCATGTTGAGTTGATGGCGTTTGACTGGTAAATGCGTGTCACAAAATTATGGTTGGCCAATGTCGGAAATGAAAGTTCATGCTGACGATGATGATGACTCGAGTCATCATCTGATGATGGTGATGAGGAGGGTAATGATGATGCTTAACGGTTGAATTGTTTCATTGAATGATTGATTGATGTGGTTGGATCATTGCTTGATTGATAAGTGGATGGACGGATGGTTTCGATGGGTTGGTTGATTCACTGACTGTGTGATTGGTGGTTGGGTGCCTGATTGATTGCTTGGTTGATTCGCAGGTGGACTGATGGATGGATGGTTGGTTGATTGACTTGACTGATTGTTTGGTTGGCTGGTTGGCCGGTTGGTTGCGTAGTTGCTGAGCAAACGTGTTGGCAACTCAATGAACAGTATATTACGATGATGATGGCTGATTGCTTGACTTAATTGATTGATAATTACTATGGACAATCATTCATCGATGACCGTTGAATCATGATGACGAATAACTGGCCCTTTGAGAAAAGACGCCTGTTCTCAACAGCGCATTCCTTCAACAACCTCATCCTTGACCCCGACTCGGATTTTGGCCTGCCAGGCATGTGAGGCCGCCAGAGATCAGCAGCCCCAGAAACAGTGCCATGGGAACCACTCTCCGCGCATCCTGCGGGCATCGGCAGGTCTGCGCTGAGTTGAGACGAGGAAACTGACAACTGCAATCTATAAACCGAAGGCTGTTGCGGACTTCTTCCCACCATTCCTAAGGTTGTCCAAGATGGTCAAATTGATCAAACCCCTGACATTGGCCCATCATTCCGCTGGTCCTTGGTCTCTGTGGCGAGGGCACACACGGCATCAAAGCCCAGAAAGCCAAAAAAGGAGTCAGTGGCACCGCGCAAAATCCCCGAGATGCCATGGTCCTTCATGGCAGGCAGCAAGGCAGTGATCTCAACCATCCCTTAGACATATGTACAGCTACAACTTTCAACGTGCAACTTGGCAATTCTGGTTTCTGCAGGTAGGTCACGCTTCACGTGTTGAAAGAAACGCCAAAACAAGTACAATACTGTTTGAAGCAAGCAGAGACCTTCTCTCAAGTAGTTCCTGCGAGAATTTGCCGACAGTGACCTCATCGGAAGGTGAAGCCAATACTACGACTACTTGACGACTCTTTAGTCAACATCAATCTGTCCTCGGAGATAAACGGTTGAAAGTTCTTCGCATCGAAAGCTGCTAGAGCTGTAGCAATCATGAAGAGGATCAGACCAATTTTTGCCTCAGATTCTCCCAAATCAATCGCACATGCACGATCGCTGGAGTGAAAGCCCCCACCGCAAGTAATAATATGTACTACAGCAATGTAACCGTGTGGGTGGGTTGCTTCAACTAGCTTTACTTACTTCAAGTAGCCAGTGAATGAAATTTAGCCAAGTCGCCGCTGTGCTGACATTGGTGAAAAGTTTTGATGCTTTGGTGCCATTTGCCAACAAGATGGTACAGAGTAGCACCAACAGCACTGCCGGGTAGTTGATGACGGAGGCCTGCAAGCAAAGCGCAGCGAAGGAAGCTTGTGGGATAAGCTTTGGTGAAAGGGTCGAATGATACCCTTGAAAGCAACGGGCGGCCATTCCTCAGAAAGCCACAGTGAGCCCCAAGACTACGGTAACTCCTGGAAGCGGAAAGTTTCTGTTTTTACAACAAGGAACACTCTGCTTGAACCCATCATTCAGTCACAGCTGCCAGACATGATCGGCACAGAAAACTGCGGAGGCCCACCGGACCTCAGGTAGATGAAACCCATTCAGGTCCAGCCGCAGCAATTTCTGGGACCAATCCACTGCCACAGCTGCACAGCTCCAGGCATATTCCACGAAGAGACAGAAGGCAGCCACTGCCATGATGGAACGACCCAACTTGGTGGCCTGCACATAAGCATAAACTGATCCTACAGGGTGGGTCAAGCGCCAGCAAGCTCCCACATGCAATTGTCAGTCTACTCATGGATGATGGTGGGGTATAATGTCGGTCCTCACTATGATAGTTACAAACAAATCCAACTCTAGGGGAAAGGTGGAAATCTGGCCATCCTCTGTCAATATAATTATATAAATAGTCGTAAGCTTTGATGATATATGACACATTGGCCTGGTGGCGCAAACAAGGACCCCACCTTGGGGTCTGAGGGGCTCTGCCCAAACCTCGAATCGCTGTCCAAGCTTGACTTCTTTGACCCAACCATTTTTTTCGTGTTGTCCCATGTCCAGCAGCCACCACCGTACTGGACAGCTCCGCATAGGCCGCGGCACTCAAGCAGCAGCCCACGGCCCCAATGCCCAGCGACAGCACCACCGCGGGCCCGGCCTCCTGCGACGCCACGCGGCCCGCCAGCGAGAAGACGCCGGAGCCCACGGTGGAGGCCACGGACAACGAGACCAGATCCGCCAAGCCATAGGCACCAGAAGCGCCTGCCCGCAACTGGAGCCGTGCCCGTGCTGGAGGTCGGGGCCGCGAAGTCAGGCAGGGTTGCACGCGGCCACGTAAGCAAGCCGCGGGCAACATGGGAGCAGCGCCCGGCTGATAGTTACCAAGTCAATTGATTCTGCAGAAGTAAGAAACTGTCGTCATTATCTTGCCGTAGTGATTCTCATCAGCCAAGGATGAACCCTTTGTGGGCTTTGTCAGCCTATGACTTTCGCCAGTGCTGAGCTACAAACGGATGGCCATGGTGTCGAACAGTTCCAATGGAATCCAAAGCGCCACCTGTTCGCACCTTTCGCACTTCCCCGAGGTGTCCCACAATTGATAATTCACTTGTTGACATGGACGGATGCGACATATTCAAACTGGTAAAACAAGTACACGCGCCGCTCTTCATTATTGCCATCATAATTCAACGGAGGTTGCGAAGAGCCTGAGAACTCGCAACGCCATCCAAAGTGTTCAGGATTGCGAACACAAAAGAAGTGCCGGGGCAAGAAGCCCTGATGTTGGATTTCGGCCAAAGAGCAACATGCAATCAAACATCCAGAACATCTGCCCACTGAACGTTTCTGGAAGTGCATATAGCGCAGCCAATTCAACAAACTGCAAGCACAAAAGGAAGAGACCCTTTCGTAACCCAAGGTGCGCAATGAGGCTTGCCTTTGAATACCCCGAAACAATTGGTGAATGAAGGACTTCGCACTTACCTACAAAGCAACCAACCCAATGAGAGAATATGGGGTGACGCAATCAGTTTTGCGATGAATCTGCGGGCAGCCGCGGCCCACTGCAAGCTCAGAAAGCTTCTCTCGCTGGAAAGCACCTCGAAGCTTTCCAATCTGGAGGGACCCCCTGGGGTTGAAGCTCAAATCCGACGAAGTCGAAGCACGGGCTTGCTGGTTCTGCCAGCTTCTGGAACTAAAAGGTTGAACGCCTTTGGGGATCTTGACTAAGCATAGGCCAACGGAAAGCGTAAAGAGACCAAAGGTCCTGGTGGTGGCTCAGTCGTAGCCCCCGAAGCGAATGCTGAGTTAAGATCCAAGTCTAACAAAAAGGTCCGACCCCTTCTTGGCTTCAAACAGGACCTACAAACGGGACCGTGTCTGCTGCCAATTGCTGCTTTTGACGAGGCCTTACCATGGCAGTGTGCATGTGACGTGCAGTGGCAGCCCTCAAGGACGATGTTCTTGGCGCGCTTGTCAAACTGTAGGGCATGGTTGGCATGCTTCTTTGCACAGTGGCACAATGCCATCTCCCAGCTTCAAACAAACCTGGCCAGGAAAACCACGTTACATTCAAATCAGCAACCTTCCAGATTTTTGGTACCTCTTGCGCTTAGTTACAGGGCCTGCCCGAGTCTTGCGAATAGACTGGACTACAGCTGCGCGCAACTGCTGCTTGGAGACTGGGCTGGGACTGGACTGGAGTGGGCTGGAGTGGACTGGAGTGGGCCGTGCCTACAACCGGAAAAGTTTGACCTTTCTTTCGTCTTCCTTGTGTACTTTGCAGGAACTTTTAGATTTTCCCAACCTTGCGAGAACCGTAGATTCCCTGATTCCCTGCCTCCTGGCTTGGGAGGGGCAAACCGAAGGGCAAGTCTTCCACCGGAATCGACCGAGGCATGTCCTGCAGAAACAGGAGAATATTTCCGGATGTTTCCCTTCAAAACAGCCCAAAAACCATCCAAAGTCGGCGGGAAGCCCGAAACAAGTCCCCAGCAAATGCAGCGTGAATTCCGAATGCCGTCTCACGAGCGGTGCCACATCTGAAATCAAGAATCCCCACGAACAAGAACTATTCCTGACGTATGGGCCCTTGTGAGTCGATTCATCTGGGCGGCATGATGCCTTAGAAGTTGTCGATAGCTTCGATTCAAGTCAGGGTACATGAGAGCAGCTGCTTTCCGCCACACTATCTACATTTCTGAAGGGTCACGTAGCAAAACTCGCTTGCGCTTCCACGTCCTCGTGGCGCAACAGCTCTTGCGCTTCAACTTCGGTTGCTTCGCCAAGCCCCGTCTGCACCAGTGAAGAGACGCGACTGGCGGGAAGCAGGTACTGCGCTGTAGGTGAAACGCCGCATACCGGAAGGTAGTCCTCGAAATGCGGCACTTGGCACGAGGGTGGTGCTGGACGGAGCTTCCTTAGTGCATTGCCAGTGTGCTCAATGCTGGCTCCCATGTGCTTGTATCACATCTCGTACAGGGAGCCATTTGCCGAACAGACTTTCCACAAGCAAAGAGGCTCTGCGCCACAGCAGAATTGTCGAAGTTAAGAGAGTTCCCGCGCCAACCCCCCCCCCAACAAACAAACAGACAAACAACAAACAACACATTCATGTCCAAGGGAGATCTTCCACTACCCAGTTTCGGGCCCATCAGCACAAAAGTAAAATCATGTGCACGGGGCCAACTACAAAAATCAAACAATCATCATGGCTTCTCCCCAGGCTGTCCCGTTTGGGGCAAGAACAAAGTCAAAGGTTGGGTACATCCTAATGCCTCGATTCCAAAATCAATCTACTGGATTTTTTTTCCGCCAAACAAAAGCAGCATCTGTTACAATTTCCACATGGATGTCAGGCGGTTTACGGTGTTTAGGGTTTAGGTTCTTCCCTCAAAACTACCGTTTAGATGGTGGTTGAAAGGGAAGCCCCGAAGACAATTTAACTGTGAGAACTAGGGAACCCCTCAAAATCTTCACTTGCGGCCCACGTAGAGTTTTCCTGGGAAATTGGGATAAAACCCATCCAAACCAGCGAACCCCATCTCTGTTTTCCCAAAGTAACCAATCAAAAGGACACCCATGGGCCAGAGTCTTCATATCTTCCGTGGCGCCAGTAGTTGTAGAGCAGCACCTGGCGCTGCTCGTTGGCCCTGGGCTCCCGCAAGCCGAAGCTGCAGGCGCCGTGCCGCAGCCGGCCGTCGAAGCAGAGCCAGCGGTTGGCCACCGTGGCGACCGCCCAGCCACGCGCTGGCACGGCCGGCACGTGGCAGCCCCCGTCTGCCACCTGGAGGGTGGGGCAAGGGACGGCCTCTAGGGAACGAGGATGAGAACACCTGAATGATGTAAAGGGGAGAGGTTGTGCCATCTACTTTCCCCCTTCTGCGCAAATTGCAAAGAAAGGCGCGGAACGTTTGCAAAAACCCACAGCAAGGCACACTGAAGCGGGAACTAACGGACTGATAGAACACATTCAAACAAACATCAAGCAAACACACGAGAGCAAACAATCAATCAAACAAACACATCACACAACAAAACAAACCAAACCAAACCACACAAACAGACAACGAAACAAGATCGCATACACGCACAAACAAACCGACAATATAAACTCACAAACACACACGCGCACACATGCACACACGCAAACACAAAACACACAAGCACAAGCACAAGCACAAGCACAAGCACAAGCACAAGCACAAGCACAAGCACAAGCACAAGCACAAGCACAAGCGCACACACACACACACAGACACACACACACACACACACACACACACACACACACACACACACACACACACACACACACACACACACACACACACACACACACACACACACACACACACACACACACACACACACACACACACACACACACACACACACACACACACACACACACACACACACACACACACACACACACACACACACACACGCACACGCACGCACGCACGCACGCACGCACGCCACGCACGCACGCACGCACGCACGCACGCACGCACGCACGCACGCACGCACGCACGCACGCACGCACGCACGCACGCACGCACGCACGCACGCACGCACGCACGCACGCACGCACGCACGCACGCACGCACGCACGCACGCACGCACGCACGCACGCACGCACGCACGCACGCACGCACGCACGCACGCAAGCACGCACACAAACAAACCATCAACAACAGCAACACAACAAGACAATCACATAATAAACAAACAAGTAAGCAAACAACCACAAAACCAAACAAACAAACAAACAAACAAACAAACAAACAAACAAACAAACATCAACTAAAACACCACACACACAAATAAGAAACACATGCGCATTCCAACACAACTGCAAAAACAATCCCCCCCCCCCCCCGTTGCACTTTTTTTTGACCGCCTGTTGAAGGATAACCGTAGGACCCCCAACGTCCCCGAGGTACAGCACGCTGGAAAAGACCGGCCGGGGAGCAGGATCATCGCTCTCGCAGCCCTCAGCTGACTCACGGGCACCCTGCTGTTGGGATGAAGCCGGGCTTGTTGCACCCCCAAATGCAGATCCCTCTGGTACCGATTGTTTGCAATTGCAGCTTGAGGTTGCCGGCTTCCCGAACAATTTGGTTTTTTCAGGATTACCTTTTGGCTCCCCATAGTTCCAATACCTTCCTGGAGGGCGTGGGCTGCTTACCATTCATTTTTATCGTCATTCTCGTCGGCGCTGTGCAATTCGGCCGAGTCGGTTTGAAGGCGCGGAAACGGGGAGAGTTTTCCGTTCAGCCAAGGACCAAGGAGAAATAAACAGGCGGGTGCGTGGGGAAGCTGAGTTGAGAGGGGGACCTGCCAAATCTCTGCTCATTGGTTCTGACAAGGCTCCGATATGGCGGTGTCATAGTGGAAGTGGGCGCCCATTCGAGCGCACTGGTTTCTACCCCACCATTCGATGCCTGCAAAGTCGTCCGGGTCCTCAAATCACAGGACATGGCCACCACCTTGAGGGGGTGGGTAGTTCCATTTAGAATGTCTTTTCACCGAACATGGAAAACCTGAAATGGGAATTGCAGGGGCCACCCGCCTAACCCCAATACCATGTTCACGGGGGTGGGCATGAATTACAGGGACCACGGGGATTTGGGTGTCACAACACCATCACTTCCAAAAGCCTTGTCGTCTTGAGTCGGTTTGGCAGACTCCTATCTATCTGCGACTCTACAGGTGGCCAAGCAACAAGCCGAACCACTTTAACAGCAAAGCTCCTTGCCCGCCAGCTTCAAAAGGATCCTGCCAGCCACTTCAGCTGCAGTCCTTGGCAGTGGCCATGGATGCGCTTTATGATGCCCAATTTTGTTTCCTGGAGCCGCTCAACCCTGACAT